ATCAGGGAAGTCTGTCACAGCAGGAAAAATAGCAGTAGAACTGCAGGCACTGCACACAGTGAGCAGGTGGTGCAGGGGGTGGCTGCCTGTCACTTCAGCACTCAGAAGTTCAAGGCCATCCTCAGCTACGCAGCCAGTTTGAGACCCTAGGATATATAAGATTTGTGATCCTGTCTCACCCCCACCCCTAAAAAAGAAAATTCACCTTCAGTTTGAATATCTGTGAAAAATGAATTAGCACTGCCTTCCCCCAAGTTTGGGATGTGTGAAGATGCAACTCAGGCCACATCTATTCATTACACTTGCAGACCTAACTAGAGCAGTAAGTAAAGAAAAAGAAATAAAAGAAACACGCATCACAAAGAAATAGCTGCATGTGGCGGTGGTAGAGCTGGAGATTCAAGGCCAGGAGACTTTTCTCAAAAGTGAACGACTAAAGCAAACACCAGAAGGGTAGCTTTGCGATTTAATCCGTCACAGAGAACACGGAGCATGTTCCCAGCAGGAGGACGCCCCCTTATCTGCTGAGCTAAAGCTGTAAGTGCTGAGGATGCTAAGTTTTGCAAAGTTCTTGAAGACATAGAAATCCTTCTTCTACCTTGCTGGTGGGAATTTAAAACAGTAGAAACTAACATTTTGGGCAGTTGTTGTGTCTGTTCTGCTTTGAGATAGCATCCCACTTTCTTCACTTGAACTAAGAAACATTGCCTGTGCAGAAGCATGCATAAGTGGACAGTGGCATGCAGGGAAGGGGGCTAACACACGAGTTACTTTCCTCATTGCTGAACTGGATACCGACAAAAAGCAAGGTAAGGGAGAAAGGGGGCCTTCGGCTCATGGCGTGATGGGGTACAGTCTACCATGGATGGGAGGCGTGGTGGCGGTGGTGTAAGACCGCGGGGCACACTGCGTTCCCAGTCAGCAGCAGGGAGAGAGGACGGCAGTGTCCAGCCGGCTTCCTCTTCCCCTCACCCCTTTTTTATTTAGTCTAGGACCCAAATATCAACATGTGTCTCATAGGTGGCTGCAAATCTAATCCAGTTGGTGTTGAAGATTAACCACCACAGACAAACTGAATATACATCAACACTTGATGAAACTGGAATCTGTATTGATTGGCAGAAGCGAGTGTCTTAACAAGTTCAAGAACAGACAAACCAAATCTGTGGCTTGTGGAAGGCAGGAAGTCATGGTGGTACTGACCAGGGTACACTAGGGAGGGCTGAGGGGCAATATGGTACCGACTGGGGATTCTGAGACTGTAGAGAGTGCCCTTTTCTCAGAGTGGCTGCCTGTTGTCTGAATGCACTCGCTGGCTGAAACCCACAGAGCTGCCAGATTTGGTGGCTCAGGCCTAGAAGCCGGTATTTGGGAGGCTGAGGCAGGAAAATTGCCACAAGTTTAAGGCCAGCCTTGTCTACATAGTGAGGTCCAGGCCAACCTGGGCTACAGGGTAAGACTCCATCTCAAAAGACCCAAAACAATCCACGGATCTGGGATGACGGCAGAATGTGGTGTGTGAAGTGTTTCCCCAGCAACAGGAAATCCCTGGGTTCCATCCCTAGCACCACAGAAACCAGGCATGGTAGTATACACCTATTGTCCCAGAACCCAAGAAGAGAAAGCAGGAAAAACAAAGAGTCAGGGCCAGTCTGGACTACACAAAACCCATTGGAAATAACAAACAATCTATGGTGGTTTATACTTAAAGATTCTGTACCCTAGATCAGTGAGATGGCTCATATGGCATTATCTATCACTGATATCACTCGATATCTCGATCAAGTGTAATGACCTGAGTTCAATTCCCTGGTACCCACATGGTGGAAGCAGAAAACCAACCTCCCCAAATATCCTCTGACTTTCATGTGTGTGTGCTGTGGCATGTACACACACCCACATAATAAACAAACAAACAAATGCAATATAAAAATTTAAAATATGTTTTAAATTTTAATTTGATGCCAGATAAATTTTATTCAATTATAATATCAAGGTAAATTAAAGTAAGGTACAATTTGTAAGGGGAAAATTTCATCATTACAGAATACTGATGTTGATATTAAATAATGATTTTTTTTTTGCTCAAATGGATCTTGTATGAGGACTTTGTTAAAACTAATCTGGTTGTATTTATCTATTTATTTCTTTTTTTTTAAAATACGGAACACTTCACGAATTTGCGTGTCATCCTTGCGCAGGGGCCACGCTAATCTTCTCTGTATTGCTCCACTTTTGGTATATGTGGGGCCGACAGGGTCTCACTATATAGCTCAGGCTGGCCTGGAGTTTGCTATGTAGACTAGGCTGGCTTCGAACCCCCAGATATCCCACCTGTCTCTGCCTCTTGAGTGATGGTTGTAGAGGCATGCTGCTGTGCCTGACCCTGGCTGTATACAGGACATCGTGAGCTTGTCACTAACTCAGGAAATCCCTGTCATTTATTTGGAACCAGGGTGGCATGCCTCCAGTTAGGTTTTATTCTCATCCAACCTGGTCTACATAGAGTTCCAGAACAGCCAGGGCTATGAAGATTGGGAGTGGGAAGCAAGTGGATCTCTGTGCGCCTGAAACCAGCCTGGTTTACATAAGATCTCTGTGAGTCTGAGACCAGCCTGGTCTATGTAGGATCTATGTAGTGAGTCTGAGAATAGCCTGGTCTACGTAGCCCAGGATGGCCCGGGCTATGTAGAGAAGACCCTGTCTCAATAAAATAAGAAAAAAGTTAAAACCTTAAAAGTTACAGTTGGGAAAGGGTGACCATAAGTTTCTATGGTATTTTATGATGTGAACTTCTCACTTAGGAAGAAACCATGATGGTCCTTGGGGAAAATGCTGTTAGTTATCTAATAAGATGCTGAGGATGCATCCCGGCAACCAGCCGGGGGCTGCAGCAATCCCTGACACTCTCACCTGGCTGGGTACTGGCGGCAGAAGGAAGGTGAGCACAGTTCTATGTCTGCCTTCTTTTTTCTTCAAATATTTCCTCAGTAATCCCTGCTTGAAAAGCCTATTTCGGGCTGAAAAGACAGCTTAACCCTCAAGCGTCTGCTCTTGCAGGGACTGGCAACCTGTTCTCAGCATCACCTCTACAGCTTCAGTTCTGGGGCACTAGTGACCCTTCTGTCCTATGCAAGCATCGCTTTGCCGTGTGCACACACAACCATACACACAAGTTAAAAATAGACTAACAGTATCTTTAGACGGCTATTTAGTGAGCAAACGTACTTGGGGTACCCACGGGTTAGAAGAGCTCTACTCCTAAAGATTTGAATGCAGGTTGAGAATAGAGAAGACTCGGAGGATTGGTTGGTTCAGTTTATTAATCAGATACTAAGCATCATACGTGTGAGTGATCTGCTGATGCCAGAATAAAGCACTGAATAAAACACACTGCTCCTGCCCGTATCAACTTAGATTACCAGAAAATAATTAACTTTAATTCTTACCAATGTTGAGGCAGAGTTTAACTCTTGTCCAGGCTTTCCTGGAACTCATTGTGTAACCTAGATGGTCTTTGAGGTCACCGCTGTTTTATGCTCCCGCTCCTCAAGTTCTGGGTCATAGGTTTAGCGCCACGCCTTGCTTAACAACAACGATAACAAAACGTCAGCAACAAAATTGTGCAAATGTTGCAAGGGAGACTGACGATGTGATTCCACCCTCAAAAAGAGGCTCAAAGGTAGTCGGAATCTCCATGTGATCAGCAAACTTAGTGTGGCTGGTAGACTTCCAGCCAGAACTGTCATAGGCTACGGCAGCCACACCCCCAGTCAGCCTCAGCTGAGCCCGCAATACAACATCCCATTCCTAGAATGACCAGGGCGGGTCGGTCACCCTTAGAGCAAAGCTGTTTAAACTGACTGCTAACATGCTGAAAATGGAAGAAGGCTGACGAGTTAGACCACACACATGCACACACACAATGGTGGCACATTCCATTTCATCCTAGCACTTGGGAGGCAGAGGAAGGTGGATCTCTGAGTTGAGGCCAGGCTGGTCTACAGAGCGACTAATAGGTCAGCCAGGGTAATACAGAGAAATCCTGTTCCCAGCAACCACATGGTGGCTCACAACCATCTGTAATGGGGTCTGGTGCCCTCTTCTGGCCTGCAGGCATACACACAGACAGAATATTGTATACATAATAAATAAATATTTAAAAAAAACTAAAAAAAAAAGGTACTTATGTATGTATTTATGTGTGGGTGTATGCAGTGCCCGTGGAGACCAGAAGAGGGCGTTGGATCCCCCGGAATTATTGTTACAGTGTGGTTGTGTGAGCCTCTTTCTGGATGGGAACAGAAGCCCAGCCCTCCGCTAGAGCAAGTGCTCTTAACTGCTTAGAGGTCTCCCGCCCTCAGACAAACCTTGCAAATACAAAAACAAATGTAGTCCTAACCCTTTTAAAACAAAAGTAGCCCAGGCTGACCTGGAATCACAGAGATCCTCCTGCCTCAGATTTGCTATTACCTTCAGCTCTAGTTCTGATCTTTAAAACAATAAAAATAAACTAAGAGGAGATCTAAATTGTTTTTTATAAAAATTTTTTGTTCATCTCTTTCATTCTTGACCAAAACAAAAAGTGAAAATAATCAGAGACTTTTCGGGTATTTTTTTCCCTAACGTCAAATTTGCCTTTTTTTTTAATCCTGCAGTTGCAGACTGGAAAGTTGTGGCCTTTTATTTTCACTCTGAGGGACTTAGCGGTGGTGGTGGTGGTGGTGGGGAGGGGGGGCAGGGCCTCTTCCAGGCAGCCAGAGGCTTAGGCTGCAGGTCTGTTTTCAAGGCTTCCTGTGAGCCGGCCACCATGAACTAAAAACTTTCAGGAAACGCCACGCAGACGAGCTGGCCCAGGAAGTCACGCACCGAAGGGTCACGGAAATCCCCGACCGGGGTTGCCACCACCGGTGAGGAGGAAGTGCGTGTGGTTTGTACCCTGGAGTTCCCCGAGCCTCGGAGGAAAGCACCCGCAGTGGGCGCAGCCCTGGGCGGGGCAGGGTGGGGGCGGTCGGCGAGGCCAGCCCGGACTCTAAAAGCGTTGCGACACTCAAAGGCGCTCACAGGCAGGGACAGGTGCCACCCCCGAGATCAGAGGTCCTTGCTGGCGTGTAGAGCCAGGGGAGCGGGCTGTGGTGAGTACACGCGCGTGGGGAGCGGGTGAGGGTCCCCGAGGCGGGTGCTGGATCCGAGGCCTGCAAAAGCGGCTGCTCTGCACCTCTGGTCCTGCCGGAGGGTGGCTTGTAGGGTGTCCGCTGATCCTGGCTGCCCATCCTGGGGCCTCCCTGGAGCTCAAGGTCTGTTTCGTTTCTGGGAGAGGCTTCTGGGAGGCCCGACACAGGGAGTACCCGGGCTTTAAGGACGAGCTTGGGGAAGAGTGGGAGTGGTTGCTTTTTTAGTGATTAGCTCGGGAAAAACACCAAGGCTCTTTCTTTTTGGGGAGTGGTGGGTGTTGGAGATGGGCCCCACACTATAGCTGAGACTGGCTTTGAACTCTGGAAAGTACTCCTGCTTTAACCCATTGAGTGTTGGGCCACAGGTCTGAGTCACTACACCCAGTTTCTCAATAGTGCTCGGAATCCAGCCAGTAAACGGCTGTAGTCATTTCTCTGTCCACCACATGCCAGGTTCTGCCCTAAGGACTTGCATTTAATTTTTTCATTTAATCATCAACTGTAAGAAGCGGGCACCATTATTATCTCCGTGCTGCAATGGGGAAACTGAGGCATATGTGGTTTTTCTGGGTCTCACAATGTATTCCTGGCTGACCTAGAACTGTATAAAGTAAAACAGGCTGACTTTGAACTCAACAGAACATTGATACGTCATTGATATCTACCTTCCTCGGCCTCTGGAGTGCTGGGATTGAAGGTGTGTCTGGCCACGTGGTGGTTTCCTTTGTAAAAGGACTGACACCCTTCCTTGAACCCCTAGGAGGTATGACTCCAGGGCCTGGAAGGAAACTTCTACTAGGCCAAGTTAGCAGTCACAGGGAAAATGTTCTTAAAGGAATGAAGACACTATGGACGTGGCGGGCTCCGTCAGCTGTGCTAAGAACTTCCTCAGCAAGATGTTTTCCTGGGATTAGTAGTGCAGGCTGTAATCGTAGCTCTTGGGGAGTGGAGTCAGGAAGATCAGCAGTTCAAAGCCAGCCTGGGGTATATGTCTCACACAACAGCATCGAGGCTCAGTGTCTTTGCTAGGCCCTGTGGCCGCAGTTACTACAGAAATGAAAACATGCAGCCTGTTCTGCAGGAGATACAGTCCCAGGCTGAGGGAGAAAGACACATTTACCCTGTAGTCAGAGAGGTGACAGCTGACCATCCCAGAGGGTGGGGGCAGTAAGCTCGTCTGTCAGGAACCACTGGAAAGGCAAGAGGGCTCCTGCATGCTGAATGGACAGGGGCAGGAGTCAGGACACATTTGAGAGGGACGGTGCCCCACTGGCAGATGCCAGCGCTTCTGTGAGTTTGGCGTTAGGAATATGGAGAGTGTTTGAAGGGGTACGTGGACTAATTGTGGTTGTGTGGACACGCGATTCATGAACAAATGTTCTGTTGACTTGGTTGTGGAGGAAGGGCCTGAGCCAGGAGAGGCTGGAGTAGAAAGCAGACTTTGAGGTGGTCCTCATTTGGGAGCTGAGGGACTCAGCGTGAGTACTGTGTAGAGAGTAGGGTTGTGCAGGGATGGAGGAGACAAAGAGGAGTCTGGTCAAAGCAGTACAGAGGGTAGGTCCAGGAAGGAGGTGTTTCTCTGAGGTGGCCAATAAGCTTGTGAAGACAGGCAGGGAGCCGTCTGCCCCTTAGTGCGGAACTGAGGCAGGGGACTGCACCTCTTTCTGAAGAAAAGAGCCAATGAGTGAATATGGAAAAGTGGTTTTGGAGGAAGGGACAGACGTCAGGCAGAGAGAAAGACGGCCTGGTGACACACCTCCTCCAACCTTTCCCAAACAGTGCACCAACTCAGGACTAGGCATTCGGATATATGAGCTCATGAGGGCCGAGCTCGTTCAAACCAGCACACTCTGTTTATTGCACCACTATTCACGGTGGGACAGATTGGATTCCTATTAACAGATAAATGGATGAAGAAAAGTGTGTGTGTGTATGTGTATGTGTGTGTGTGTGTGTGTGTGTGTGTGTGTGTAGTAAACACTAGAGTACCACTCAGCTTTAAAGAGAATTACAGGTATCATCTGAAGAAATACATGGAACAGGAAATTACGTTAAGCCAAAGAAGGCAGAGGTATAAAGACAAGAATGCCTTCATTTCCCTAGAGGGACTGTTACTTCACACGCTGGAGAGGTGGGAGGGGCAGAAGGGGCTGAAGAAAGGGTCCAAGCACAGCATATGCAGATGTGTAAATGTCACAGTCAAATCCACCATTTGCATAACCAGTGTACGTTAGTAATTCTTCTGTTGAAAAAAGATTTGTTTATTTTATATATGAGTGCTCTGTCTGCATGTACACCTTTATGCCCGAAGAGGGCATTAGATCCCACTAGAGATAGTTGTGAGCCACCATGTGGTTGCTGGGAATTGAACTCAGGACCTCTGGAAGAGCAGCCAGTGCTCTTAACCACAGAGCCATCTCTCCAGTTCCTGCTTTAGTAATTCTAATACAAACAATTAGAAGCTGAGTTGGTGACTCATGCCTGGAACCTCAGGACTCAGGAGGTTGAGGCAGCATGCTGCTGTGAGTTTGGGGCGAGCCTGTGCTACACACTGAGTACCAGTCCAGCCCAAGCTGTAACGCAAAGGAAAATAAGTCACACGAGAAGAATGAACTCAGGTCTTGTGACTCTTGAAAAATCACTGAAGATTCAGGACACTGGAACTGGAGAGGTGGGCCAGTGGTTAGAGCATGTGGGCTCTTACAGTCAGGAAGGAAAGGGATTTCCCTCTAGTTGTGTGACTGTATTGTTGTCTTAGATGTGAACTCAGGGAGCTGGGTACAGAATTTATGTGAACTCTGCAAGCTTTTTAAAGTATAAATTAATTTCTAAGTGTACTTCTGTGTCCGTGTGTCTCGATGAGCTGGGGTCTGTAACCGTGAGCTCTGTGTGAGATGGCTGGCCACAGCCAGGGCAGCATTCCTTCCTTAGTGCTGGGGCTGAGGCAGGGGCCTTGATTGCGCCCCAACTCCAGCCCAGGTTAGCATAGCTTCTCGGTACACACCAGTCTCTGTTTTGGAGAAAACATCTTAAGGAAAAGGCCATTGTGACACTTGCTTGTAATCCTAGCATTTGGGAAACAGGAAGATTATGAGCTTGAGTCTGTCTTAGACTACATAGGGAAATTCCATCTCCAGAAAGAGGGAGTGGGGGAGAGAAAGAAAAGAAAGAGACATCGTGCCATGACCCTGAGTTTTTTGACTTTAATTTCTCTGTTCTAAACAGGTTGACAAAGGACACAAACCCTTCTACTCCCTGTAGCTTTTTTTTTTTTTCCAGTTTCTTCTGTAAACCGAAGCATCTCAAAATGGAGGCCTAAAACCCTTAAAGGGACTTAGTCTAACCTCGGGGGGTAGTTCTGTGCATGGAAGGACAGGTTAATCACTAAGTAGACTTTTGGGGTCACTGTTTGAGATGCTCATTTGAAGCCTGTACTCTAACTCTGAGGTGTGATTATTATGATTTGGTTGTGAATTTGACTACTGGAAAGGAAAGAGTTTCGTGACTGGGCACAGTGTTGAGACACTCTTCAGAAAGTAGTCTGGCATCTCCCACTGACTGGCAGCTTTAAAAAGTGCCCGTGTTCAGGAAAGATCCAGACATGAGTGCCGGTTATCCAGAGGACGTGAGTAGTCAGCCTTCTGCTGAAGTAGAGACGTGTGCTCACGAGGTCTCTGACATGTTAAGAGATTGCAACAGCAACAGAGAACAAACAGGAACAGAATGTTCCAGTAGGCCCAGCAGATTTAGAGGAAGACAGACAGACAATACATGAGCGTTGAGAAACCACCCGCCCACAAGACCGTTGCTCCTTTAAAGGTCTGCACTTCAGGTCTTTTAGAGAGACTGCAAGCGTGGGAACGGCAGCAGCTACGTTATTCTGATAAATGAGCCCGTTTATTCAGGAAGAGAACGTCATAGAATGACCAAGTTTTCATAGCCCTGAAAGGGGGCACTGAGGTTAGACACAGTGACTTCCCCTGAGGGAGACTTGTGCCAGCTGTGGGTGCAGGAAGCCACACCAGCCGGGGGCAACCAACTCCCGAGCCGTTGTTCTAGTGGCAAGTAAGGTCTCTGCTGTTCAGATGGTGACAGACTTATTTATTGTCTTGCTCAAAGAACACTCTCTCTGAGATAATTTCTGACCAGAACTAAAAGTATGAGTTTCAAGCCCACAGTGATGGCCCACACCTTTAACCCCAACATTCAGGAGGCAGAGGCAGGCAAATCTCTGAGTTTGAGGCCTGCCTGGTCTGCAGAGTGAGTTCTAAGACAGCTAGGGCTACACAGAGAAACCATGTCTCCAAAACCAAACCAAACCAAACTAAGCACCCCCCCCCCAAAAAAAAAAAAAACAGAAAAGAAAGAAAGAAAAAGACAAAGTCTGATACTTGTTACATAACTCAGTGGTCAGGCACAGGCTTTGTGAGACCAAGGCTCACTCCTCAGTGCTTCCCAGAGGAGCAACAAAGGTATTCTGAGTAGAGGACCAATTAGTTAAGTCTGATTCTGGTCCTTTGGAAGGAAACAAAGCCAAACAAAAGTCTTGAAGTTGTTTGTTATTTTACACTTGTATCTGAACCTTGTTTCATCCTGTATGAATACATAGCTTCATGAACCAGACCTGTGCAGGGGACCAGTACTCGTGCAGGTTGGTGACCGCCTCCTAGTGGCCAAGAGAAGAAGCAGGCTCAAGATGCAGGGCACAAGGTGCCCAGAATGGAGTTAACCTCTGTCACACATTGGCTATTAGGTAGAATCTAGTTTTATTGTATGCCTGAAGATTGTACGAAAGTATGGTTGTGTGGAATTGTGCCTTAAAATGTTTCAGCATAGGACTTAGACTTTCATCCTACTGAATCCCAAAATACATAGAAGAAAAAAATGAGTTTGTTCTTATTTTAGGTGTTCAGCCTAGTAGTAAAACTGACCCAAAGCCATGCACAAAGCTACCTCCCCAGAGGAAGGCTCGTCCCTTCCCCTCCCCACCGTTTCGTCATGAACATGGTTCAAGACAGTGTCTTCCTGTCCAAGCCGTTGAAGAGTGCTAACACCTTTGAGTTGAAGTACAACTTTTCCTGTGAGCTGTACCGCTTGTCCACGTACTCCGCTTTCCCCGCTGGGGTTCCTGTCTCGGAAAGGAGCCTGGCTCGCGCTGGCTTTTATTACACGGGTGTCAATGACAAGGTCAAGTGCTTCTGCTGCGGCCTGATGCTGGACAACTGGAAACAAGGGGACAACCCTGTTGAAAAACACAGACAGCTGTACCCCAGCTGCAGCTTTGTTCAGACTCTGAATCCAGCCGGCCGCCTGGAAGCCAGCCCTCAGACCTCTCTTCCGTCTGCAGTGCCTTCACTATTTACAAGTTTGGAGAACACTGGCTATTTCAGCGGCTCTTATTCAAGCTTCCCCTCAGACCCTGTGAACTTCAGAGCAAATCAAGATTGTCCGGCTTTGAGGACAAGTCCTTCCCACTTTACAATGAATACAGAGAAGGCCAGATTACTCACCTATCAAAGGTGGCCGTTGTCCTTTCTGTCACCAGTTGACCTGGCCAAAGCAGGCTTCTACTATGTGGGACCTGGAGACCGGGTGGCCTGCTTTGCCTGTGGTGGGAAACTGTGTAACTGGGAACCTAAGGATGACGCTATGTCAGAGCACCAGAGACATTTTCCCAACTGTCCATTCCTAAAAGAGTCGAGTCAGTCTGCTCCAAGATACACTGCCTCAAACCTGAGCATGCAGACACTCGCGGCACGTGCGAGAACATTCTTTAACTGGCCGTCCAGTGCTCTGGTTCATCCTCAGCAGCTTGCAAGTGCGGGCTTTTATTATACAGGTGAGAAACTTCATCTGAGACTAGCAAAGATCCATCTGTGTTGTGCTCTACTTGAGAGCGGGCGGATTTGATGTATTCCTAAGTTTGGTTCACATGAATTTCAGGACACAGTGATGATGTCAAGTGCTTTTGCTGTGATGGTGGGCTGAGATGCTGGGAGTCTGGAGATGACCCCTGGGTGGAGCACGCCAAGTGGTTTCCAAGGTAAGTGCTTGGACGTTCTCCTTTGTATCTTCTCTGGTTTTCATGAGATACATTATTCTCCTTTGTAGCACTTTTGCCTTTTAAGTATGGCAGATTGTATTTTGTTTTTATATATGTGAGTCTTTTGCCTGCCTGTATGTCTGTGTACCATTTGTTCAGAGGCCAGCAGAAGGTAGCAGAGGGCATTAGATCCTCTGTGACTGGAGTTAAAGATGGTTCCGAGCAAACACGTGTTAACTGGGTATCAACCGTGCATCCTCTGGAAGAACAGTCAGTGCTCTCAGTGGCTGAGTCCTCTCTCCAGCCCCATTACTTCAGGTTTTAAGCATTGTGACAATTATAAAGAATATTCACCTCAAAAAGCCATAAAATATTCCCAGATTTTTAAGTGCTTTCCATTACTCCAGTTAAATTTTTAATATACTTACTCATTTGTTCTGTGTGTGTGGTGTGTGGAGGTGAGAGGACAACTTTTGAGAGCTGGTTCTTTCCTACTCTCTGGGGTTGAGCTCACGTTACCAAACTTGGTGGTAAGAACCCCCTGAGCCGTCTCACCAGCCCCCACTGCTGTGGTTTGGAAAGCACAAGAGCCATGGAGCTGCTCAGTGCTGGCATGACCTGCTTCACATCCTACGTCATGGAGCTGCTCAGTGCTGGCATGACTTGCGTGAGTCCTACGTCCATTTAGCAGTGGATTGGCAAACTCACCGATAGAGGGGTTCTGTTGAGTGTCCCCACACTTTCCCTCGAGTCTGTTGGCATGTTGTCAGCCCTTAAAATTGTCATGGACATGATCAGATGGCTTGTGTAGAACTCTCTGCTTCCATGTCGCCTTGAGGGTGTTTTAGGAGCCTTAGAAGAGTTGCGGACAGTGAGAACTCTGAGCAGAGACAGCGGTGGCTGAGGGGCTCCATGACCACCACTAAGCGGCTCAGCCTCGACAGCATAGCTCTCCCCTCCACAAAACCCCTCTTGGCTGCAGTCTCTGTGTCCTCCTTGTGCCAAGTCAATAGCATGGGGCTTATGTGTGTGTTCAAGCTTGTGAGGAATGCTTACTGTCCACAGCTAGATTAGCTCCAAAATCCAGAAAGGCATGGTATATCCTGGAGTAATAGAACTATAAAATAGAAAGTAGTGAAACTAATTTTGTAGAACAGCCGAAGTATATGAGAAGTCCTAGAAGTCCTAGAAGTCAGTAGCTCACCTGCCATTTCGGTTCCTGAAGGACCAGATGTTTCTGACCTCCGGGGCCCTGCATTCATGTGCAGAAATACGCACATAGAGACCTTAGTGGCCTGGACTGATTTTTCTCCAGCGTAGGAACCTGTCAACCGGGTAACGGATGTCATGTGAGGTGAACACTTAGACCTGAGTTTGTCATTACATTTCATTTTTTTTTAAATTAAAATGGATTTTTAATCATAAAAATGAGCATACTGAAATTACTTCCATTCGGAAGCTGGATGAACAACGTTGTCTTAGGAACCCCTAACTTCCTTGTTTCCATCATAGCTGTGAATATTTGATAAGAATCAAAGGACAAGAGTTTGTCAGCCGAGTTCAAGCGGGTTACCCTCATCTGCTGCAACAGGTAGGAAAGACCTCTTTTTTCTCTGTAATTATTGCTCCCCAACAGAGAAACTTTTTAATTTGTTTTTAAAAATTTAATTATTTGAAAAATTATTTTTAGAAATTTATTTGCAAAATAAACCACAGTAATATTTTAGTGAAAAGGTGAAAGCTGTTTTAAACACGACTCCACACACAAGTCTCAGCCTTACTGTGCAGGGGCTGCTCTGTGAGAAATTAGATCTGTAATTATTAGCCACGTGAAAGATAGTGTTTGTTGTCTTTCTCTTCACGCATTTGTCTAATCCACCAGCAATGGATTAGACTCCGAAGCAATTAAGTTCAATTTGAGGGGCAAAGTAAGTTTTTCTTAAACGACTCGAGAAAGCATTTGTTACTGCTCCTTGGAAAAAGCAAGTAAGAGCTTCTTTCTTTTTTTTTAATAAATAAATAATTGTTTATTTATTTATTATGTATACAATGTTCTGTCTGTATGCCTGCAGGCCAGAAGAGGGCGCCAGATCTCATTACAGATGGCTGTGAGCCACCATGTGGTTGCTGGGAATTGAACTCAAGACCTTTGGAAGAGCAGGCAATGCTCTTAACCACTGAGCCCAAGAGCTTATTTCATAGTCTGAGGTTCAAAAGCTTGTGAGCAATGCGAGAGGAACCGACTGGAGTGTAGGCTCCCCAGCAGGTGACTTAGCTGCAGGTGCAGGGCCCACATGCTGCTCCTCCCGAATCCAGCCTGTGCTGAGGCTGCTCCCTGCAGCACACTGCGCGTGTGGGAAGCGCTTGGCTTAGAGCCCACACCCTGGTGAATGAATGCAATCCTGCTTCTCACTGAAAAGAATATTCAGCAGGACTGTTGGTCATTTCAGCGCAGCGGTGGAGTGCAGTGTACATTTTAACTCATCCTTCTTTCTCCTGCAGCTACTGTCTACCTCAGACACCCCAGAAGATGAGAGCGCAGAGTCACCAAGTACGTATAATCATCGTAGCGCATTCAAGTGAGCCACTCTGTGCTAAGATTGACGGTGGCGATGGGTATGGTTACAGTCGAGCGTTTGAGAGGTGGAGGTGGAAGGATTGTCTGTTCAAGGCCCTGTTCAACTGCTTGAGACCCTGTCCTAAAGATAAACAGAAGGGTTGAAAGGCTATAATGGTAAATGCACATTCATGCCGATTTGTAGTTTCCTCTGATTCCCTCCTGTTACTGCCTGTCAAGCCTCAGTGCGCGCGCGGGAGCTGCTTGGAAGCAGCGCAGATGTCTAGTCCATGCCCCAGCCTGCCTAGACGGTCGGTGTGGACAGTGTGGTCAGTGTGGATGTGTGCCGTGGAAGTGTTTTCTATTTACAGTTGTTTCTGCTGTTTGTTTTTATGGTCCTGTGAACCTAGTGCCTCAGGCATGCCAATCATAACCTCCTTCACTGAGCTCCACCCCATAGCCCTGGGCAGCTACACTTTATCCAGACTGCGTGCATCCGGCCTTCCCCTGTTGTTGGGCCATTGTGGGAACAAACATACTGTGCCTTCAGTTGCTGGCATGTTCCTCCTGTCCATAGAGAGGGTGGAACATAGTGCTCCAATCCTTCCACTGGGACCCCAGGGCTCACGCTGCCAGTGTAACTTGCCTGTTACTTAAACCCAAGAAGTGGGAGAGAATATTTGAACAGGTGCTTGACTCTGCTCTTTAGCGTTCAAAGCAATATATTTTAATAATTTATTTATTTTCATTTTATGTGCATTGGTATTTTGCCTGCATATACGTCTGTGTGAGGGTGTCAGGTCCTCTGGAACTTAAGTTACCGACAGTTGTGAGCCATCATGTGGGTGCTGAGAATTAAACCCTGGTCCTCTGGGAGAGCAACCAGTGCATTTAACTGCTGAGCTCAGGGCCAGCCTGGGGGAGCTCAGGGCCAGCCTGGGGGAGTTCAGGGTCAGCCTGGGGGAGTGCCAAGCCAGCCTGGTAACCTAGTAACCTGGGACCTTGTCTTAAAAGAGCAAAACAGGGCTGACAGACGCCCAGTGGTTATAGGCTGCCAAGCTCACAGCCTGGGCTCTCGGCCCTGGACTCACAGGTTAGAGAGAACTGACTCCTGAAAGCCGTCCCCCCACAGCTCACGTGCATGGCATACCGTCTTGCCGTCCAAAACCCATAAAAGCAAACAGACTAAAGAGTGAATGAAAAGACTTTCTGGAGGAGATACTTGTCTCAGCAGAGAGCCCCAGAGAAAAGGAACCTGCTAAGTAACAGGGAAGGCATATCCCGAAGAGAAGAGTCAGAGGCTGTTTTGTCTGGCAGGAAGTGAGCAACAGCAAGCAGCTGATTGTGTGGTGCTAACAACTGGAATCTGAGCTAAGAGCTCGCAGTTGGTGAGCCCTAGGGGCAGAATGCAAGGGCACAGGCAGGAAGCTGGCATTTGAATAGCAATGGCTGAGGCTGTGGTTGGATCAGAATATAGAAGCCCCAGGTGGAGCTCTTTCCCTAATGGAGTTGAGGAGGTTGAGGGGTTGACGTTCTTCAAGTCAAGTGCTGAAAGGGGCCCTACTCAGGACACTGGAGCAATTGCACTGAGTGATAACAATGGCTTCTTTCAAAATTGGGAAAACATGATAGTCAAGTTATAGCTGAGCCACAGTTCTCAGTGGCAGATGGATGGATAAAGATAATGTAGTGCATACCTGTGACCTCAGCATTTGGGAGACTGAGGCAGAAACCTTGGCTATATGCTGAAACTCTGTCTCCTGCAAACAAAATAAATCAGGACAGAAAAAAAAGGAAGAAAAGGTTACGCAACCATTAATTAAATGTGACACCTTGTCATTTGCAGGAAATGGAAAGAACTGGAAATATCAAAATTCACGATATGTGTTTATATATCGCAATAAAAACGTACACAGCTAATAGTTGCTAATAAAAAGAAGCAAATATGTAGAGTATATATCTGATTTAGAACACTTACTAGTATATCTAATATAGAAAAGAAGCCCTGATGGAGGAAGGTCATTGGTTAATTAATAAAGAAACTGCTTGGCCCTGATAGGTTAGAACATAGGTGGTGGAGTAAACAGAACAGAATGCTGGGAGGAAGAGGAAGTGAGCTCAGACGCCATGCTCCCCTCTCCCGGGCAGATGCGATGAAGCTCCGACCCAGGATGGACGTAGGCTAGAATCTTCCCGGTAAGCGCACCTCGGTGCTACACACATTATTAGAAACGGGCTAGTCCAGGTGCAAGAGTTAGCCGAGAAGAGGCTAGATATAATGGGCCAAGCAGTGTTTAAATGAATACAATTTGTGTGTTGTTATTTCGGGGCATAAGCTAGCCAGGCGGCCGGGAGCTGGGCTGTGGGAAGAGGCCTGCAGCTCATACTACAAAGCCCCTTGATTCTGGAGGAATCGGTCCCTGATATTCAGTTCTCTCTCCTGTCCTTGAATAGAACTAGTCATAGGCTTCTATCCAAGGCAGTAATATTCCATATTCTTACTTCGACTGTTGAATATACATCATTTTAAAGTTAGCAACATGCATACAGTGTAGTGCCTGTGTATTTTTCAGACTGTATGGCTTTGATATTGCAATAACTTGCTATTTTAAAAGTCTGTGAACCCAGGCATGTGGGTTGGTGCCTGCAACCCTAGCACTAGGGAGGCTGAGACAGGAGAATTGCCATGATTTTGAGACCAGCCTGGGCTACATAATAAACTTGAGGCTTGACTGGGCTAGAAGGAGTCTCAAAACAACAGCCTCAACAAAAAGGTATACAGATGCTGTCAATGTCTCCAAATCTCCCTCTTCTACAGTTGTGCATTTTGGACCTGGTGAAAGTTCAGAAGATGCGGTCATGATGAACACGCCTGTGGTTAAGGCAGCTCTGGAAATGGGCTTCAGTAGGAGCCTGGTAAGACAGACGGTTCAGCGGCAAATCCTGGCCACCGGAGAGAACTACAGGACCGTCAGCGACCTCGTGATAGGTCTGCTGGATGCAGAAGACGAGATGAGGGAGGAACAGAAGGAACAGGCAGCCGAGGACACAGAGTCAGGTACAGAGTCACAGGGTCCTTCTCCAGAGAGATGGAATGTCACCTTAGCCTGATCTTTTTTATGTTTCATGTTCTGAATTCAGATTCTGAAAAAAATTCTTCATGATAAAGTGCATTGTGAAGGGTCAGGGAGGTAGCGTGGCAGGGGAGGGCGTTTTCTGCTGAATCTCAGCATAGAGCTTGACCCCAGAACCTGTCCTGTGGAAGGGGAGAGCTGACTGACTCACACAGGTTTCCTCTGATCTTTACATCCATGCTGTAGAATATGTGCACGCGTGTGTGCGCGCACACACACAGTTTTAAAAAACACTTAAGAATTGATCATTATATTAAAAATTGTATACTTTGAACAAACTCACACAAAAGTGCCATGTGACCTGCCAAAGACTGGAAGATCACACACTCTTTGATTTTTGTTTTCTGTGTTTGCACACAGATCTTTTCAATGAGTAAGCCTGGATATTTTCCTCTTAAAGCAAAATTTGCACTAAGAAGCTTGATTTCAACAAACTGTCAAATAAGTTCTCAATTTTGAAGGTGTGTGTGTGTGTGTGTGTGTGTGTGTGTGTGTGTGCGCGCGCGCGCACGTGTGTGCACCATGGCATGTGGACAGATCAGAGGACGTCTTAGTGAAGCCAGAGCTCCCCTCCCACCTTCTCTGGGTTCAGTGTCACAGATGTGTCCCTAGGCTCTTGCCTTGAGTGTTTTCTGCCCTGAGCCATCCCGACCCACAGCTCCTTCTTGACCCTAGGATGGTCATTCATTCTACTGTGTTATAAATCGAGATGGGATCCGGGAGAGTTGTTAATTTGAATATTAGGGTAACAGTATGTGTTAGATGGCAATGTTTAACTTTTTAATTAATTTTTAAATTTATGTTTACCTGTGTGAGTTTTGAGTGTACTGTGTGTGTGCAGGAGCCCTTGAAGGCTAGAAGGGAGTGTTGTTGGATCTCCTAGAACTGTGGCTATAGGAGGTTGTGAGTCACATGTGTGTATCGGGTCCTCTGCCAGGGCAGCCAGTGCTCTTAACCGCTGAGCCATCCCTCCACCTTCCCCACTCCACCCCTTCTTCTGAGACAGGGTCTCAGGTATCTCAGACTGTCCTTGAACTTGCTGTGTAGTTAAATCCTGATCTTCCTTGCTCTACCTCCCAAGTGCTGTGATGACAGGAATGGACCACCATGTCTGGCTTAATGCATATTCATATGTAAGTCCCTACCTGCCCATACAAGAACTGCCTTCCGTTACTGTGTCTTAGTTGTGGAGCCCTCGGATTCTGTTTCCTGTCGTATTAGCTGTGTTTGTGCTCAGAACCACCTTCCTCCAGGCGTGCACAGCTCTCTTCTAACTCCGGCTGTCCTCAGTCTGGCGTAGACTAAAGCTATGTTGATCTCTTTCCCGAACATGGACTGTTACTCATTTTCCTTTAACTTCTGAGACAGGGTCTTGCTGTGTAGCCCAGGCTGGCCTTGATGGCATGACCTTCTGCCTTAGCCTTCTGATTGCTGGGCTGCACAGTGAGTTCCAGACTAGCCTAGGTTATAGCAGAATGAGACCTTGTCTCAAAAACAAACAGGGCTAGTGGTGTAGATTAATTGGTAGAGTGCTTGCCAGGCATGTAGGACTCCTGTGTTTAACCCCAGATGTGGTTCACATGACTGTAATTCTTGCACCTTTGGGTGGAGGCAGGAATTTAAGGGCATCCTCAGTGATGAGATGAGTTTGAGACTGGCCAGGGCTACATGAAAAGACAAAACCAAACAGGAAACAAAATGCACATGTATGACTGATTTTTTTTTAACTAAGCAACACTTTTTGTCCTTCTTAACATTGTTCTATATGTGTCCTCATGACAAACTCAATGCATCTAAAATCTAATTACTTCTCCTAAAGTAATTCTTCAGACCTGTCATATTAGTATTCATCATTTTGTAGATATAGCTTTATAGTAGAAAACAGAGCATTGCCAATGAAGAGATAAATGCCAGGCTACGGACATCGCTTGATTGACAGAGCGCCTGCCTGGCGTGCACAGCACTGCATACACTGGGCCTCTTATCACACATCTGGAAACTGGCACTAAGGAAGTAGTGGCAGAAAAATCACAAGTTTACTGCCATGGTGAATTGGAGGCCAACCTGGAGTACAGGACATCTTTAAATTATGATCGAATAAGTTCTCTCCTTCGTGTGTTATGTAGGCACAGAGAGATGGTTGTGAGCCGAGTTTGACACGTCTCTTTCTCTCCCCAACCCTCTCCCTGTAAAGATGACCTAACATTAATCCGGAAGAACAGGATGAGGCTTTTGCAGCATTTGTCGTGTGTGACGCCGATTCTCGACTGTCTTCTGAGTGCTGGGGCAATCACCGAGCAGGAGCATGACGCTGTGAAACAGAAACCCCAGAGCTTGCGCGCAGGAGCACTGATCGATACTGTGCTAGCAAAAGGGAAGCCTGCGGCAACCTCGTTCCGAACCGCCCTCCAGGAACGTGACCCCGTGCTATACAAAGATTTGTTTGGTGAGTGCTAGCAAATTATATGGGGAGATTTTCTACGGCAGTTGGAAAATTGGAGATTGTTGAAAGAAACGGGTCCAACTTATAAATTTTAATTGCACAAAAATTTAGGACTTTTGTTGTTATTATTATGAGTTTTTTGTTCAAAGTGTAAAATGTTTAAAATCTTTGGGGTGAGGGGTGGGTGCTGGTGAGATGCTCAGCAGGTGAAAGTGCTTACTCTTTGTTGTAGGGTTTCTGTTGCTATGGAGAGACACCATCACCATGGCAACTCTTTTTTTTTTAAATATTTACTTATTTATTATGTATGCAATATTCCCTCAGTGTGTATGCCTGCAGGCCAGAAGAGGGCACCAGACCTCATTACAGATGGTTGTGAGCCACCATGTGGTTGCCGGAATTGAACTCAGGACCTTCGGAAGAGCAGGCAATGCTCTTAACCGCTGAGCCATCTCTCCAGCCCCCATGGCAACTCTTATAAAGGAAATATTTAATGGGATAGCACGCAGTTCAGAGGTTCAATCTGTTGTCATAGTGGGACATGGTGGCATGCAGGCAGACATCTTGCACAGGCAACAGGAAGTGGTCTCTCTCACTGCATGTGGCTGGGACATATATGAGACCTCAAAGCCTGCGTTCACAGTGACATACTTCCTCCAGCAAGACCACACCTACTCCAAGGCCACACCTCCTAACAGTGCCACTCCCTTTCAAACTACCACACCCTGTAATCCCAGCAGAAATCTGATGACCCAAATTTGATCCCCAGAACCTACAGTGGAAAGAGAAAACTCAAAGTCAACCTCTGGCCTCATCGTGCACACTGGGATCCTGAGCCTTGTGCGTGCATGCTCGCACATACTCATAAGTAAATAAATTTGCTGCTGGACGTGGTAATACGCACCTATAATCCCAGCATTCAGGAGACTGAAGCAGAAAGATTATGAGTTCAATACCAGCTTGGGTTACAGAATAATTGTATTTCTCAAATATTAATACTAGATAAATAAATTTGTAGACTGTATTCTGGCCTGTGGATTTGGTTCGGTGAGAGCCTGTTTGGCCTAACATGAATGTATCACACCCTGGGTTTAATATCTGCATTACAAAATTGAATAAAGAAAGCCTAGTTTATAGCTGAATACCAGCCGTGGATGCCATAGTAACGCCTTGCCCTTTCTTCCCCAGTGCGACAGGACATTAGGCGTCTCCCCACAGATGATATTACAGGTAAGAGTACTAACCCTTTAACCTGCGGAGATCATCTTTGTGTGTGTGGGGGGGGGTCACTAGAGGAAAAGCAAATTGCTTTCCATTAAAATTCTTTTTTCTTGCCTCACATAGCATCATGCCATGTGACCAGCACTTGGGAATTGGAGGTGGGAGAACCAAAGTCTGAGGTTATTTGGGCTCCCCAGAGCTCGTGTTTAAAATAAAAATTTCCCTGTTTTCATAGCTCTACCAATGGAAGAACAGTTGCGGAAACTTCAGGAAGAAAGAACGTGTAAAGTGTGTATGGACAGAGAGGTGTCCATCGTGTTCATTCCCTGCGGCCATCTGGTCGTCTGCAAAGACTGCGCTCCCTCTCTGAGAAAGTGCCCCATCTGTAGAGGCACCATCAAGGGCACTGTGCGCACCTATCTGTCCTGAGGATCCGCAGCGGCTACCCCAGTGGGCAGAACGGGCAGGAGGGGCAGGAGCTCAAGGCCAGTCTGGACTGCACGAGACACCATCTCAGAATAAATCAGCAAATACTTAAAAAATGAAAAACGAGGGGAAAAAGAAAAAATGGTGCCTAAACTCAAGAATGAATGGATTAACTATGTAATATTTTAACTATTAAACTGATTTCGTTTCTTTAAAAGTGCTATTTATCTCCTACTCAGAATGCCATTTTCTGTACACAAATTTATGTAACACCTGCCTCTGAGGACATGCATGTGCGCACTCCCATGCTGGGAGATAGGCTTCTGTTCTTATTCCTGAAGAGCAGGATTGCCTGCATTCCTGAAATTCTCAGAGAAGGTTTATGATGGTGGCATTTATGGTGCAGAATTTGAAATCTTTCTGAGTTGCCTTAAGAACTGGGAACACAGATTTTCCCACTTCTTTTCTAAGTGTTTTATGTATGGAAACTCCTGTTATTTATTGAATCACATTTTAGGGATATGAAATTTTTATAAAGAAGCTGTTAGGAAAAATTAATAAAGCAACAAAATTACTCTTGTTATTTGTTTATTTTATGATACTGGCAGTTTAATCACAGCCATATTCCAGCCATACCATTTTAAAGAACTCTTAAATGCTGGGGATAAGGAGATGGTAGAGTCAGTGAGGTACTTGGCACAAGAGCTTGAGAAGTGAGTTCAAATCCCCAGAGTCCCAGAAAGTCAGGTTTGGCAGCATAACAGTCGTCTGCGGGAATTAGCCCAATGCTTTCTTGACTGGAAATGTGTAGAGAATGAGATGCTTTTGGTCTGTTTGCCACCATTATTTCTTGCAATGACATTTCCCCAGTCATACGTGAGTTATGGGTGGGGGAAGGGAGCCTTGGTGGCACTTTACTCAAGGAGAGAAATGACGGAGCAGGCGAGCTCTTCCCTGAAGGCCACCCTTGAGGTCCGAGATTTGGGGCCAATCAAAGGAAGCATGTTCACAGTTAGCTGTTAGAGCTTCAGTTGTCAGGTTGACACACCTGGGAAGAGAGATTCTCAAAGGAAGAGTGGCCTCCATCAGATTTGCCTGTGAGAATATCTGGAGCATTTTCTTAGTTGCTAATTAATGTGGGACTGACCCACCACGGTGGTGGTGCTACCCTTAGGCAAATGGTCCTGGTTGGCATTAGTCCACGGTGGTGGTGCTACCCTTAGGCAAAGGTCCTAGATGCTATAAGAAAGCAGGTTGAGCAAACTCAGAAAGCTGGGGCTAGAGAGATGGTTCAGAGGTTAAGAGCACTAACTGCTCTTTCAGAGGTCCTGAGTTCAATTCCCAGCAACCACATGGTGGCTCACAGCTATGTATAATGAGATCCGGTGCCCCTTCTGACATGCAAGCATACATGGAAGGAATGTTGTATACATAATAAATAAGTAAATCTTTTTAAAAAAAAAAAAAGCCAGGCAATGAGCAGTGTTTCTCCCCATCTCTGCTTTAGTTCCCGTCTCCAGGTTCCTGTGTTGACTTCCCTCAATAATGGACTGTGTAACCTACTAGCAAAAGCAGATTTCCTCCCCGAATTGGTCTTAGTCACTTTTTTCTCAGCAACAGAGAACAAAGCAGGGCGTGCAAAGAGCCTTATTTGGCTGCAGTGGGAAGACAGTACGGCAAACAGGAAGTTCCTCACAGGGGAAGCCTTCTAGAAAGCTCATGGAGGCCCCGCTCAGACTCAGACGGGAAGCGGTGGGAAAAGTTTCAGAAGGAAGACTTTCTTGTCTAAGTGCGTTGAGCAACAGCAGGATGGAGTCTGGGCTGAAGAGTTCCGACGTGTTCCCAGTGATCTGGGTCTGGGTTGGGGATTTGCAGAGTTCTTGGTATCTTATTGAGAGTGAAATTAGTTGCACGCCATTTGCAAAGTAGCAAGAATACTTTACTCAAAGTAAAGCAGGCGGGTGGCCCAGAAAGAAATGGTGTCAGAGAGGCACACTCAAGGCTTGTCTGGGCTTCGTGGGCTTCGAGAAAAAAAGTTTGGTTGCAAAGGGACCTGGTGAGGGTTCCCTGTTTTGGCTGAGAGGACTTAAAGTGTCCCTTCCCATCGTGTATCTGGGTTTAATCAAATGAACACCCAGCATAAGATAGTAAATGGGGGATTTTCCCTAAACGTTCACTCACAGGATACAGTGTGCGTTACTGGGTATGAGCCCAAATCCGGTCTAGACCAAGTGGCCATCTCTCTTGTTTGTATGATGTGTCTTGGGATGTATCTGAATAGAAGGGGGACATTATCAAGAGATTGCTAAAGGAAGTAACTCATTTCAGTTATTTTAAGCAGGTGTGTGTGTGCAGTCTGAGGCCAGAGGTTCCAGATGTATCATTATGCCTTGTTCTGAATCGGTCCTCTCATGCTGCCCTCCCTGTCTTCCCTGCCCTCCTTTCGCGACTCGACTCTCTTGGAAAAGCCACATTCAGGATGGCGGGCTTGTGCACAAGCTTGGGGACCTGACTACAGGTCCCCAGCACCTAAGTAAACTGCTGGACATGGCTACACACGTGCCTGGAACTCCAGTGATGCGGAGCAGAAGACGGGGTCACTGATACTTGCTGGCCGCCAGTCTAGTTCTAGGCTCAGAGACAGACCCTGTCACATTTCTTGGCTTGCAGTTGTCAACGTTCCCTCAGATGAAGGTGTCCAGCAAAAATATATATGTTTTACACAAGAAGCTAACAACCCATTCCTAGCAAAATATTATAAAGTAAGACATCCAAAACTGTTAATTACAACAGTGTTTGTGGTTGGAGACCACCCAAATGCCTCTCAGTGGGAAAGGATCTGGAGATACAATATTTTTTCTTTAGAAAACTCATTCTAGTATTTTATTTGTAATGTTGGGGTTTGAACTCGTCTCAAATGCTATACCACACAGCCTAGAAATAGCCCTTCAATTTTATTTATTTATTTATTGGTTTTCTGAGACAGGGTTTCTCTGTCACTTTTGAGCCTGTCCTAGAACTAGCTCTTTGAAGATCAGGCTGGCTTTGAACTAATTCTTCAGTTTTTTTTTTTTGAGACAGGGTTTCTCTGTGGCTTTGGAGCCTGTCCTGGAACTCGCTCTGTAGACCAGGCTGGTCTCGAACTCACAGAGATCCGCCTGCCTCTGCCTCCCGAGTGCTGGGATTAAAGGCGTGCGCCACCATCGCCCGGCTAATTCTTCAGTTTTTAACATGGGCAATCTTTTGAATTTTGCATGGTCTTTGAGCCAGGTCTCTGGTAATCCCAGCACTTGGGAGACAGAGGTAGGCAGATCTCTGTGAGTTCAATGCCAGCCCAATTTACAAAGTAAGTTCCAGGACAGTTAGGGCTACACAGAAAAACCTTGTCTTGAAAAGAAGGAGAAAGAAAAGAAAAGGAAAGGTCTTGGCTCTGCTGCTTTTGTCAGGCAGGAAAGAGGAGGAAAGTGGAGGGCTCAAGTCACCTGGCCATCCCATGTCTCTCCGCTTCAGTAACAGGCCTCTGTCTTGCCTGGGCTCTGAGATCTGCACTTTGCATGGCTATCCGATGGTGGGCAGAGGGGACCATGGTAGTCGTGAAGGTTGGTAGCTAGCTGGCTGTGTCTTCCCTTTATCATCATTGTAAGCCGTGGTGGCTCACTGGCTCTGATGCTAGTTTGTGGTTCAGGGACCTAATTATTCCTCTGGTTCTTGCACATGCGCCCCCTGGCGGCCCCTACTCTTACTACCAAAGCCGCGGAGACAGGAACAAAGCTAGTTTGGAACTGGCTGCATATTCCAGGCTGGCCTTGATCTCTCAGCAATCCTCAACCTGAACCACTGTCCCTGGTTTTTAATTGTTTTTTAAATCAAATTGTTTAAGTTGAATATATTATGGTGTACTTATGCCATGTATCCCAGCACCTATAACATTCGCCTCTGTGAGCTTATACTGAATAGTCTCCGCAATTTAATAAGTGGAGAAAGGTGTACTACTAAGAACTTAAAAATTTACCTTTTTCTTTCTTTATTTTGTGTGCATTTTGCCTGTATGTCACTTGTTTGCAATGCCCGTGGACATCAGAAGAGGGCATCGGATCCTTTGAAAATCTAGTTAATGGAGGTGTGTGTGTATTTTAGGAACTAAACACGGACCTCTGCAAGAGCAGCCAGTGCTCTTAACTGCTGTCTCTCCAGGCCCTAGCTCTATTCTATGTATGTATCTATGTATGTATCTATCTATGTATCTATGTATCTATCTATCTATCTTTCATCTTTGCATGGGCATAGTCTATTTTTAAATTTATTTTACATACCAACTACATTTTCCCCTCCCTCCTCTCTTCCCGTTCTGTCCCCCCATCTCCTTCCTACCACCCCCCTCCCCTCCCCACCACCCATCCGCTCCTCAGAAAGAGGCAGGCCTTCTATGAGAATCAATAAAACATGGCATATCAAATTAAGGCAGGACCAAGCTCCTTCCCCCTGTATCAAGGCTGAGTGAGGTATTCCACCATAGGGAATAGACTCCAAAAAGCCAGCTCATGTGTCAGGGAGAGATCCTGGTCCCACTGCCAGAGGCCCCACAAACAGACCAACCTACACAACTGTCACCCACATGCAGGCTCCCTAGTTCAGGTCAGCTGTCTCTGTGGGTTTCCCTGTCATGATCTTGACCACCCTCACTCATATAATCAACCCCTCCTCCCTGTCTTCACTTGGACTCCCGGAGCTTGGCCCAGGGCTTGGCTGTGGATCTCTACATGTACTTCCGTAAGTCACTGGATGACAATTAGGCTAGTCACCAGTCTGATTACAGGGGAAGTCCAGTTCAGGCACCCTCTCCACTGTGGCTGGGGTCATCCTTGTGGATTCCTGGGAGTTTCCCTGGCACCAGGTTTCTCCCTAACTCCACAACTCTATCAAGATATCTCTTTCTTTCCTCTCCCTCTCTGTCCCTCCTGATCCTCCCTCCTGATCCCTTGTGTTCCCATCCCCCTTCTCCTCCCCTCTACACCCCCGAACCCCCAGTTTACCCAGTAAGTCTCATCTATTTCCCTTTCCAGGGCATTCATGTGTCTCTCTTAGGGTCCTCCTTGTTACCTAGCTTCTCTGGCAGCTCCTGGCTTTATTTTTATTATACAACTTACATTGCAGAAGTCTTTTCAGTCTTATTTTTCCTTCAAAATTATCTTGAGTTGTACATTTTTGTATATAAAGATGAAATGACATGATAACCACCTCAATATTTATAAATATGTAATATATAATTCATATATTTCAAATATATATATACATACACACACACACACACAATTACCAGCTCTCCATGGACAATAGGGAAAGAATGTTACAAAATAAATGATTGGTCTTCAGGATTATACAGTATTTAAAAAGTAGTAAGTTCTTAAGCTTCTGAATTTTGGGAACTGGAATTTTACTTAGATTCTCTATCTTATGTTTTAGTCAGGACAAGAGCTGAAAAAGAAACATACTCTTGAATTCATTTTGCACAATTATTGCTAGAGTCCCACAAGTATTAGGACTGTTTTTTGTAGCTTTCTGAAGTAGTTACTTGAATTAACACTGGCATCCATGGGTGTTTTTGGAAGTTAGTCATTGGTAGCCATGATACTCTTTTCTCTGTGTCAGATCGTGACACATCCTTTCGTTTTACTATCAACACCGGGACAGGAGACTGCCTGTTCTGTGACTGACCCTCTGGCGGGCGGAAATGATGGGGGAAGGGAAATGGGAAACGGTTCAGGGTCCTGGGATTCCCCTGGCTTCCTAACAGTGGCCTGTTATTTCTAAATTTTTGAAATGTTTGCCCCCTGGAGTTTCCCGGGGAGAAGATTTGATTTCAAATCCCACTTAGTGCGTGCACTTCTAATCCCAGCACGCAGGAGGCACAATTGGGATGCTAAATCCTAGGCCAGCCTGAGCCCGGTAGTAAAACTCTTTCCCAAACAAATTAAAAATAAAAAGCAAAGTCCAAACAACCAAAGAAAAAACCCAAAACACCCAACAGAAGAGGGCAGTGAAAAAAAGCATTGCAAAGTCCTTCTCGGTGTGCTTTGTCAGGGAGGGGCGGCGGAGGGTTGGGGTGGGGAGACGGAGACGCCTGCGAGCAATGAATCAAGGTTTTAATTTCCAGTTCTTAAGTGTATTCTTCCACAATTTCATCACAGGTATATGATGCACTTTGACCATACTCTCCCCATTATACATATTATTAACCCTTCTACTATTAACAACTATTAACCTTCCTCCAAACCAGTCCCCTGCTTTTTCCTTATCTTTTTGTTTGTGGCCTGGTGCTTCTATTAAAAAAGAAAATATGCATACTGCCTCCCCGCCCCAAAGAGTCTCAGGTAGCCTCGGTGTACTAGCCACGGCTGGGTTTGAACTCCTGGGATTCCAGGTAGCGCCACCACGCCGGACAGCCGGCCGGCTTACCAATGTCAAAACCCATCTTAAAAAAAAAAAACAAACAAAAAAACCCCCCAAAAAACCCAAGTTATATTTATGCACATGCACACGAGTGTAGTCCGTTTTCCTCAGGCGTTCCGAAGCCAGCTCACTCATCTGAGAGCCACCTTCCAGGGCTTTTCCAGTGTGTCAGCTGCCTGGTTGCCACCCTTGAGGTGCACACGAATCAAAGCCCCAAACACCTAGCGGAGCGGCTCGGGCGAGCGTTCGCGAACACCCAGCCTCGTTCGGAGTCCGGGCACTGAGGCCCGGATGTTCGGCTTCCAAAACTCCAACACGCAGGCGCGAGCGCAGGCACAGGCGCGCGCGATTAATTTAGCCCCTCTCTCTCCCGCCCGTCCTCGCGGTGGCTGCGCGCCGTGCTGACGTCACCGCGCGTCTGCAGCGTCCAGCTAGCCGCGGGGGCTTTCGGGAAGGCTGCGGATGGAGAGTTGCTGCTGTGGCTTCCCGGGCGCCGGAGGCCCTGGTCCTGCGGCTCCGCGGTGAGTGCGGCTCCCTCCGCCTGGCGGGGCGAGCGGGCCGCCTTCGGCTCCCCGAAGCCAGCGCAGCCGCTGTTGTGAGAGCCCTCTGTTCTCAACGCAGCGCGATCACCGCGCGCTTCCCCAGTCCTTGCCCTGGCAATGGCTTGCTTTCCAGTTTTGCTTTCTTTTCCTTTCGGTTCATTTATTCATTTATTTATTGTTAATTAGTTAATTCCTTCATTTTTTTTTTGAGTCATCCCTGGCTGGTTTCCAACTTGCGAAAATCCTCTTGCCTCAGTCTCCCGGGTGCTGGGAGTACTAGCATGCCCCACCACGCCCATCCCGCAAGGTTCTAAGCTCACCGGAGGTTTTGCTTTCACTGCCTTCGAACCGAGCCGATTGTGCGGCACGGAGATCACGCTTATCGTATAGTTTACTGGTTGCTCTCTGTAGTGAGGTGAGAAATAACTCTGCGGTTTTATGGGGAAACATGTCTTTCTGACCTCCACTCTCCTTCAGTGTGCATTGGAACGGGTGGTGTGGGTGAGCCGTGCCTCAGTGAAACCCTTGTTGTCCTTTTTCCTTTTGAGATGCTTTCTGCTATAGTTGCTTTGGAATAGTTAGGGAATGATTGTCCTTAACGGGTTGTGTTAACGAGCCCTCCCAGATACCTTTATCTAGGCTAGCTCAGTCCTGACTTGATCAGTTGTTCCCACTGGCAGAGCACTATCATCCTGCCTTATCTTCCAAGTGTTGAGATTGAAGTTGCAAGAAGGCTCGGGAATCTTTGTTTAGTTGCTGCTCTTCCTCCTCCTCTCTTCTTTTTTAAATAGTTGCTGATGATTAAACCCAGGACCTTTTACCTTCATGATGGAGCTGCATCAACAGCTCTGTAGAATGTCTGTTCCATGCCTACAGGTGCTTTTTGTCTTCAGTGAATTGCCCTATCAAGATATCTTTAAATCGGAAAATAAAAGCAACCTAGTAGTAGTGTGGTCTAGCACTTGGGTGGCTAAGACAGGAGAATACCAAGTTTTAAAACCATCTTCTTTACATTGACTTCCTAGCCAGCCCAGCTACAGAATGAGACCCTGTCCCTGCAAAAAACAAAACAAAACAAAAAAACAAACCAAGCAAAAACCTCAAAGAAAGATGCCCACGAAGTATGTCTAGCAGTAAATAAACAATAAATACAGTCAGCAAATGTGAAATTGGGGACCAATTCTCTTCCTGGGTGGAAATGTCCACCTGTCTTCAAAGGTTTACTTTTTACTCTGTATAAAGCTTGCATTTCAGAGACAAGCACAGTGCTCTGGGAAGTGCTTTTCTAAGACTGGGTGGGTAAAAACTGCTGTAGTTAGGATGCATTAGCTAGAATGAGACAGTTTCAGGTATTACTGCATAAATTGAAGAGGCCATAATTGCTATGCAATTAGTTTTCTAAAATACCTTTTTTTTTCTCCTTTCAGATCTGCAACACTGAAGAGTCTTCATTTCCTCCTGTATTTTTCTAGAAATAAACCCAGTCATGGAAATATGAAAAAATATATAACGAATCCAGTTTGAATTCCATGGAGTGTACTTTTGTGTATGAATAGTTATATAAAATGTTGAGTTCTCAAAAAGAAGGCTAGTAAGTATGGGACATTTGTGCAACAGAATTGCTGTGGTAAACTGGGTTGGTAGATACTACGGCAACTGAAGAAAGCTGTGTCTTGATAAATTGATTCATCCTTAATTATAACAGACTTAAATGAAGCCCAGGTGGACTTTGTAAAATGCAGTCTAGTTAACTTTACTAACAAGATACTGTCTGTCGAGCAGATGTGTTTACGTGATAGACACAGGAAGGGATTTACCAGGTGAGAAGAACAGCAGTCTAAGCTCTCAACAAGGCCGTTCACCAGACACTATAGTCTTAGTAGGGCCGTGTGTTAACTTCCCCAGAAGGCACCTGAGATTGTATAACATGAGCTGTAGGAAATTAGCTCTTAGAAAATAGGACCATGGAGTGAGTTTAGTTACTTGGGTTTGATAGATAGTTTGGATGTCGTATTAAAGTCCTTATAAGGGGAAAAAGCCTGCATATAATTTTTCCGATGTAGTTAGCAATTGACTTAGTATCTAGACTTCATAACTTTTTTTGTTTTTAGATTTTTTTGAAATACAACTTTATTCTGATTCTAAACAAAAAGAATGGGGATGACAGCAGCAAGATTTTACCGCTGACTGAATAGTGCAGTGTGACGGTAGCGGTCTTATTTTTGAAATTTCAGAAAACAACTGTGTTCCACACAGCTAATTATGCAAGTCCAAAAGAAGGAAGGTATGTTTTTAAAAAAAAGTATGTTTTAACTGCCGCATTCACTCCTTCAGCATCCAGTGAAGTACACGATCTGCTTAGCTAAATACGATGGCGCACGCTGCTCTGCTGACGTCACAGGACAGTTGTCTATAAACTAGACTTCTGCCGCAGGCTCCAGCTTCACTCTCAGGTCGTCATCCTCATCCGGGAGCACAGTCGTTTGAGCAACCTCTAAATCACGCTCGTGCTGTGCTGACAAAGCTGGGTCCATGACCACCTCAGGTGGGGCAAGCGCAGCATGGCAACAAACTCCAAATTAGGGTCTCCAAGGAGCTTTCTGGCAAGCCAGAGGAAAGGCTTTTCAAAGTTGTAGTTACTTTTGGCAGAAATGTCTTAGTACTGGAGGTTTTTTTGGTGGACGACAATAGATTTTGCCTTTACTTTTCTGTCCTTAATATCCACTTTGTTGCCAAACAATACAGTAGGAATGTTTTGTTTTCTTTTTTCCTCTGATAATTTTTTATTACTTTATAGATAATAGGAATCAAAATTTCCACTTCCCTCCTCCCACTTCCCTCCTGCTCCCCCACTCATCCCTCTCCCCTCCAGTCCTAAGAGAGGGCAGGGTACCTTGCCATATAGGAAGTCCAAGGCCCTCCCCCTCCGTCCAGGCTTAGGAAGGTGTACATCCAAATAGAATAGGACCCCCAAAAGCCAGTACATGCAGTAGAGACATATCCCAGTGCCATTATCATTGGCTTCTTAGTCTGCCCCCATTGTCAGCCACATTCAGAGGGTCTAGTTTGATCCCATGCTCGTTCAGTCCCAGTCCAGCTGGATTTGGTGGGCTAACAGGGATGTTGTCACACACACGTACCAGATCTCTATGCCGGTTAGGTACATTCTTGTAAGTAACTCTTGATGTTACATCGAATGGCACACTGGGCTTGGATGGAGTAGCCATGGCGCAGGCCCCCGAACTTCTCCTGGCCGGCTGTGTCCCACATGTTGGACTTGATGGGTCCTCTGTTGGTATAGACAATGAGCGGATGCACCTCCACGCCCAGGGTGGCTACATACTTCTCAAACTCACCTGTCCAGTGGTGCCTCACGAACATCATCTTCCCCACCAGGACGAGCTTGAACTGGATCTGCGGCACTCCCTGGACAGCCAACCTGACGTGACGATCCTTCCAGAAGACTCTCCGCGCCTGTCCGACTGAAGCTGACTTCATAACTTTTAATGAAAGTAAATTATGGGCGAATAGCTCTTGGGTTACTTAAAAGAGTTCATATGATTCCAGAGTCCTGAGTAGTGTAGGATCTTGGAAAATAAGAGTTGTCCTCTGTGAAGGTGAACTCACATAAATCCAGTCAGAGAGAATTCTACCTGGTTAGGAGCCCGTTTTTGCATTCTCTGTGTGGTTGAGATCTTAGTGTGAACTGAGAAGCTTCATAGGGCAGTTTAAGCTGTCAGAAATACTGTCCCTACTCATGCACAAAACTGTCTCCCAAAGAGTTGTTCAAGGTACTTTATACCAAAAAAAACAAAAAGATAATGGAAAATAGCACAACCTTACTGAATTGGACAAAAGAGAGCAAAGAAAAAATAAAATATGACTTTTCCTGTGAGCTCTACAGAATGTCCACCTACTCGGCTTTCCCCGCTGGGGTTCCTGTCTCGGAAAGGAGCCTGGCTCGCGCTGGCTTTTATTACACGGGTGTCAATGACAAGGTCAAGTGCTTCTGCTGCGGCCTGATGCTGGACAACTGGAAACAAGGGGACAGCCCTGTTGAAAAACACAGACAGCTGTACCCCAGCTGCAGCTTTGTTCAGACCCTGCTTCCATCTGGTCTGCAGTGCCCGCCTAAGGTCACAGCCCCTGTGAGAAGCGGGTTTGTACGTTCCTTACCTCTGGAGCAAGGAGGAAGTTATTCCAGCTCGTCCTCAAACCCTCTTCACTCCAGAGCAGTGGAAGACTGCCCGTCCAGGACGAGTCCCTGCAGCTATGCCATGACTACCGAAGAGGCCAGATTTCTTACTTACAGTGCGTGGCCTTTAAGCTTTCTGTCACCAGCAGAGCTGGCCAGAGCCGGCTTCTATTACATAGGACCTGGAGACCGGGTGGCTTGCTTTGCCTGTGGTGGGAAGCTTAGTAACTGGGAACCGAAGGATGACGCTATGTCAGAGCACCGGAGACATTTTCCCAACTGTCCATTTCTGGAAAATTCTTCAGAAACACAGAGGTTTAGTGTATCAAATCTGAGCATGCAGACTCACACTGCTCGAATGAGGACGTTTTTGTACTGGCCGTCTAGTGTTCCTGTCCAGCCTGAGCAGCTGGCAAGCGCTGGATTCTACTATATGGGTAAGATGTTAGCGGAGAACTAGAGTTTTATTAGCTTGTTTATGGGAATACACATGAGTCAGTTTCTGGCCTTTTTTTTTCTTGTTTAGATCGCAACGATGATGTCAAATGCTTTTGTTGTGATGGTGGCTTGAGGTGTTGGGAATCTGGAGATGACCCCTGGGTAGAACATGCCAAATGGTTTCCAAGGTAATTGGTTCTTTGTTTTATGTTGAGACAGGGTTTCTCTGCGTAGCCTAGGCTGTCCTGAAACTAGCTCTGTAGACTCAGACTGGCCTTGAACTCAACAGCTGCAGGCCTGCCTCTGCCTCCCGGAGTGCTTGGATTAAAGTTTTTGTCAGTGCAGCTCTTAACAAGTTTCAACTGTGACTAATCTTTGATCCCAGTAAAGACAGACTAACAGATGATCAGTATCACTAGATTTTAGTACATACAGTTCACTTATTTATCAGATATTTAGGTAATATTTTAGGTGCTATGGGTTATAATCTGTGTTGTGAGGGAAGAGTGGATAATGAGGACATACAGGGCAGTCAGGATATACTATACCTAATGTCTAACCATTGTTCTGCTGGTTACTTTCTATCATTGCACACGGGGTCACCTGTGTGACCTGGGAAGAGGGACCCTCAGTTGAAGATCGCCTCCCTCACGTCTTAAAGCTGTCTACTATGTAAACTGATAACTTGATTTCAGCTACACAAAGTCTCTGCCTCTGTCCTTTCAGCATCTCATGGCTTTGATGTCACTACAGCTTTTTTTTATTTTTTTGAGTTTTTTTGTTTTTGTTTTTGTTTTTTTTTTTTTTTTTTTTTTTTGCTTTTGCGAGACAGGGTTTCTCTGTGGTTTTGGATCCTGTCCTGAAACTAACTCTTGTAGACCAGGCTGGTCTCGAACTCACAGAGATCCGCCTGCCTCTGCCTCCCAAGTGCTGGGATTAAAGGTGTGCGCCACCACCGCCCGGCTTCACTACAGCTTTTTAAGTTGTGTATCCATTGTTTGTTTTTCATATGATAGTTGTAGCTATAGTTATTTCTAACACTGTCTTTAATAGGACAGGGGTAGCTATAATTGAAGCTACAGTTATTTCTAACACTGTCTTTAATAGGACCGTTGTAGCTGTAATTGTAGCTGCAGAACACTGTCTTTAATAGGACCGTTGTAACTATGTTTGCAGCTACAGTTTTAGCACTGTGCTGGGCTGGGGTAGTACTGAAGATTGGATCGAGATAGCCACTCGACCCTGAGCCCCAGTGTTTTCCTCTTAACCTTTATGTTAGAGTTGGCTGATTTACACTCCACATTACAGTTTGGAGAAGTCTGGAGGTGATTTTGTATTTGTCTTCACCTGTAAATTTTGTACTTTCCTATGCTCTTGAGAATTGTTTGCTGTATTCTCTCATTATTGCTGATGTTATCTGTCATGTTCTCTTGAAACTCACTGAGCTCCCTGAAGATGAGTAGTGTTAATTGCTTCTTTAGTCGTATGTAAGCACCTTTCTCTTCCTTCTTTTGAGTTCTGGGAAAATTATTGCATTCCTTTGTTGTTATGGTTTTTGTTTTGTTTTTTAAGTTTCTCGTAGCTCTGCTTCTTAGGTTTTTGTGACTTTATTGAACAAGGAGCTTTAACTATAGGTAGGTGTGAGGGCTTGGGCTTGTCAGGGTATGGTATGACTCGTTGGGAAGCCCAGTGCTGTAGTCTCCATGCAGTTCTATTAGCTGATGTCTTTGTCAGTGATGGTCTTAGAGATTCTCTGTGTCCAGGGCAATAGCAAAGCTTTTGGTGGTGAGGCTGAAGACTTGATCTCTTCTCTCATGGGAAACATCCTGGCCAATGGGATCCCTGTTGACACCTGTTCTGACTTGTGAGTATTCTCACAATGGTGGGGGCAGTGATGAGGTGATGTTTGAGATGAGGACGCATCCCTTGAGCAGCTGGAGTCGATGTGGAGCACAGGTGCACAGAACAGCTGCAGGCTGGGCTTGAAGAGCACAAGAATAGTGCGTGTAGGACACAGGCTCTGGCGTCAGACTGTTCTGCAGCCCTGGGGTGCAGAGCATGGGTCAGGGAGGGAGGTGGTTCCTTGCAGAGTGTTGCAGGCCCTGCTCCTTTCTGCCTCCAGGGTCCCTCAGCACTAATGGTGGGAACTGGCTGCTCCATGGCAGAGGAGCTTCTGAATCCAGCGCCAGTACACACTAGAGAGATTTTTGCTGTGACGCCTCATGAGGTTGGTTGTTGATAACTTCAGTGGCAAAGGTTCTGGGTTTCTGCTCAAAGCAAGCCCCTAGGAGCCATGGTGGTTCTGCCTGCCAGACTACTGATTCTCTATGTCTATCTGTTTCCAGATGTCTCCCCCGTGGGCCTTCTGTACCTTCCCTCCCCTCCTTCTTTCTCTCTCTCTCTCTCTCTCTCTCTCTCTCCCTCTCTCCTCTCTCCTCCCTCTGTCTCTCTGTCTGTCTCTGTCTCTGTCTCTCTCTCTGCCTCTCTCTCTCTCTCTCTCTCTCTCTCCCTTTTGTGATCCTGGTGGTTGAGCCCCTGGCGTTGAGTATGCTATTCAAACACCCCACCACTGCCACAACCTCCACCCACATATCTCTCTTCAGTTTATGTTAATTGGGTTGTTGAGCCCTCCTTGGGCTGTTTCTTCCAAGGACAGCTCTCTTTAGTTTGGGTTTGTTATAGAAGTACACAGCCAAGAACATTGCCATCTTTCTTTCTTTTTTTTTTCGAGACAGGGTTTCTCTGTGGTTTTGGAGCCTGTCCTGGAACTAGCTCTTGTAGACCAGGCTGGTCTCGAGCTCACAGAGATCCGCCTGCCTCTGCCTCCCAAGTGCTGGGATTAAAGGCGTGCGCTACCACCACCCCATTGCCATCTTTCTGATAGCATTCTTGCAAACTTTCCTTTAATCTGTGATTTATATTTGTTAATCCCACTGAATGAGAGTAAAGACCATAACCCAAATTCTTTGGTTAAATTAAGCAGGCTTTGTTTTTAGTCACTCAGGGCTATCTCCCTAAAACAGGATTTGAAAAAACAGCATTGGACATGGGAGAAGGTAGGGTCCAAAAACTGTATGACTAGGTGGTTTTCAGGGGTTGGAGAATTTCCAGAGGAATTTTAGTTACATAGGCACTTGGCTGGACATTTTAAAGTTGTTTGGCAGAATATTTGATCTTACAGGATATAATCAGGGGGTGACCAGTCAAACTCCATAGGGTGGGGAGCATGTCAAATTCCAGAAACAGGTTAAAGCACGAGCACCTTGAATTTTGCAGCAAACAGAAATGAACTGTTCTGACCTTATAACAAATGGCTTCCATCCTTAAGATTGAGTCCGTCTGGTCCATCAATATTTTTACTTCTGGACTTATTACTATTGCTGTGTAGTTGGACATTTCTCTTTCATCCATTTTCAAATGACCACTCAGAGACTGAATATGAACTATTAAGTGCTCAGACTTGTTAGTTGCTACCTCTTACACTTAAATTAACCTATATTTCTGTTTATGCTTGACATGTGGCAGTGCCTTTATTAGCCTGGCACGTTTATCTCTTCTCTTTGTGTCTGGCTGGCGACTCTCCCTCTGCCCTTCTTCCCACCATCCTTAGTTTGGTCGCTTGCCTTTACTTCCTACCTGGCTACTGGCCAATCAGCATTTTATTAAATCAATTTGAGTGACAAATCTTTACAGTATACAAGAGGATTATTCCACAGTATTGCTGTGATGAAACACCACGACCAAAGCAACTTAGGGAGGAGAAGGCTTATTTGGCTTATGCTTCCACATCAGAGTTTATCATCAAAGGAAGTCAGGTCAGGAAGTCAAACAGGATGGGAGCCTAGAGGCAGGAGCTGATGCAGAGGCCATGGTAGAGAGCTGTTTACTGGCTTGCTCCCCATGGCTTGCTCAGCCTACTTTCTTATAGAACCCAGGACCACCAGCTCTGTGATGGGACCACCCACAATGGACTGGGCCCTGCCCCTTCAGTCACTATTTATAAAAATGCCTTACAGCTTGATCTTATGGAGGCTTTTTCTCAGTTGACATTCTCTTTTCTCAGAAGACTTTAACTTTTGTCAAGTTGATACAGAACTATCCAGCACAGGCATGGTGATTGTGGTGCACACCTTTAATCCCAGCACTCTAGAGGCAGAAGCAGGTGGATCTCTGAGTTCAAGGCCAGCCTGATCTACAAAGTGAGTTCCAGGACAGCAAGGACTAAATTTAGAAACTCTATCTTCAAAAACCAAAAAACCAAACCAACACAAAAAAGCCAGAAACAACCCCCCCCCCCAGAAAAAAACCCAAATTATCCAGCACAGTGTGTGACTGCCTGTGGGTATGTGCACATGAGTGTAGATGCCCAAGAAGATCAGAAGCGTCGGGTGCCCTGGAGCTAGAGTTATAGAAGGGTTGTGAGCTTCCTGACATGGCTTCTGGGAAGTGAATTGTGGCTCTTCTGTGAGAGCAGCAAGTGAGCTATTTCCAGCTTTCCTTCCAAGCTTCTTACGAAGCAACATTATGACTTAAGGAAGGGCAAAAGGGCTTTACACACATTTGGGGATATGATTCATCTTTAGTTTAATTTTTCACATAACATGAGCATAGGGCAAGATTTTTGTTTATATGCTTTTACAAGAAAATTTGAAATTGGACACCTAGTTGAACGTTTCTTCCAAAGGGATGAGATGGCAGTGGTTGTTATGTTAACTTCTTCTGAGAGGTTTTAGTGGCTTAAATATTTGTGAGACATTGCTACAAAATGTGGAGATAAAGTTTCTTGGAGGGAGTGTGGTGAACTATATTTCACGATAGGAGAGTGAACTCTGGAGTAGGTTAACAGTTACTATATTGTGAACAATGAAATTTAATAGATAGAGTCATAGTTTTTGAAATAGTTTTAACCACAAAAAGACAATGTCTGTACCATTGTTTTTCACATGCCAGCTTTTGCCCTTTCTAAGTCCAGAAGGTTTCCCTTTGTTGTGTGTAAGTGGAAGGCAGCAGGAAAATGATGGAGGCACCGCCACCCTGGGGTGTGTGCTGGGGTGTGCTGGTTTGGTTAATGTCTACTGGGTCGTGATGGGAAATTTTTGCTGTGGGGTATAATCGAGAATATTTGGAAGTCACTCCTCTAGAATAACCAGTTCATTTTTAGTATGAAATGATTTAAAATAGTTCTGTTTTATATTTTAGGTGTGAGTTCTTGATACGGATGAAAGGGCAGGAGTTTGTTGATGAGATTCAAGCTAGATATCCTCATCTCCTTGAACAGGTAAACTGGTTCTTCAGACTGACATGAACTCTGGAGGTGACACATTTGGTAAAGGGGCCTCCTAGGCAGTGTGAGGCCCTGAATTCAGATCCCAGCACCACGGACAAAGCTGGGTGTGGCAGTGTGCATCAGTAACCCTAGAGTGTTAGAGACCAGGGACTCCATGGAGTGCTCTGTCCAGATAATGGAACTATTCAGTGAGTTCTATGCTGAATGGGACAGAGAGCCTGTCTTACAAACAAGGTGTGGAACTGCTGAGAAAGACATCCATGTCTACACCTGTCCTCCACATGGGTGTATATGGAGTTGCACACACCCACGTGAACAGGTCCATATGCTTGCTCCAACTATGCTATAGAATAAGTACAGAAATCTCAGAAGTGATACTTACATCTATTTTATTAATTCTTTGTACAAAATTTTTTGTTGGTGGAGGCTGCTTGTTTGTAATCCTGACCACCAGACCCAAAATAATCTCACAGAAACTATATTAATTAAAATTCTGTTCAGCCTATTAGCTTGGGCTTCTTTTTGTTTGTTTGTTTGTTTGTTTGTTTTTTTTTTGGTTTTTCGAGACAGGGTTTCTCTGTGGCTTTGGAGCCTGTCCTGGAACTAGCTCTGTAGACCAGGCTGGTCTCGAACTCACAGAGATCCGCCTGCCTCTGCCTCCCTAGTGCTGGGATTAAAGGCGTGCGCCACCATCGCCCAGCTTGGGCTTCTGAACTCTTAAATCTTAAATTAACCCATTCCTAATTTTTTTGTGTTTTACCACGAGGATTGTGGTTTACGGTAAAGTTCAGGTTGTCTGTCTCCTTTTTCAGCTAAATGGTGTCTGTCTGCCTCTGCCTTCTTTCTCCCAGCATTCAGTTTAGTTTTCCCACCTAACTCTATTCTGCCCTGCCACGGGCCAGAGACGCTTCTTTATTAACCAATGGTAATAAAACATATTCACAGTATACAGAGGGGAATCCATAATCAATTTTTGAGGCAAAATTGGAGTTTATTAAATTCGTATAGCAATTTTAAGCGATGTAATTAGGAAAAGAAATATGGTTAGGAAGGAAGACATACTTGAGGTTGCGTGTGCTTAGACACCTGAGGTCGTGAGTGTGTGCTTAGATGGACACCTGAGGTCATGAGTGTGTGTTTACATACCTGAGGTTGTGGGTGTATGCTTGACACCCGAGGTTGTGTGTGTGTTCTTAGATAAACACCTGAGGTTGTGGGTATGTGCTCAGACACCTGAGGTTGTGGGGGTGTGCTTAGACAGACACCTGAGGTTGTGGGTGTGTGCTTAGACACCTGAGGTCATGATTGTGTGCTTAGACACCTGAGGTCGTGGATGTGTGCTTAGACACCTGAGGTTGTGGGTGTTACTTAGACAGACACCTGAGATTGTGGGTGTGTGCTTAGAAGAGCTGCCGTGTTTGACTTACCCGTACTGTAGCCACGGTACTGCATCCTTGATAGTTTTGTTACTAGCTTGCTGTTCAGGCTTCTTTATAAATACTGTTTTTTCTCTTACTTTTTTGAAAAATCTTATATCCTGTCATGTATAGAATTTTTTTAAATGGGGTTGAAGAGCTATCTTCAATGTCTCTAGTCTTTTCCAGTAAACAAACAAATGAACAAAAATCTCTTTAGGAGTTAGGACCTTTTAAGAGTTACCCAGATGAAATACTGCTTTTTCAATGGGATGAGGAGGCACTGTTGTCATCATGCTGTTCTCTGAAATGGGAGATATACTTGAATTCTGAATCGGAGGTAGACTAAGTATAAGCATAGCTGTATGATATCTATGGTGAAATGAAACCAAATAAAGTGTTCATATGAGTTATTTATTACAGAGGTTTGAGACATGGAGCTGAGGCAAACCTTGAACTCCTAGTTTTCCCTCCTGTGCTGCATACCTGTCTTAAAACGAAATATCTGAGTCACCCAGTTTCCTGAAGGGTGTGTGCATTTATTAAAGTAAATGTTGTTGTTTGTTTGGGTGTGCTCGTTCATCCCATCAGCCCCGTACTTGGAAAGCTGAGGCAGGACAATTGCCATGAGTGCTAGGCCAGCCTCAGCAACAGAGAGAGACCCTATCTTATTGACTATGCTGTTTAGAGTGTTTGAGATTCCTGATTTACCTGCTAAGTGTTCTCTTATTTCATAGCTGTTGTCCACTTCAGACACCCCAGGAGAAGAAAATGACCCTCCAAGTAAGTAGGAAACCTTTAAATGCAACTATGAGTCTGTGTAAGAATATTAGGAATGAAAGTATATTAAAGGGAATCACATGGAAAACTGTGGAACGTTAACTGGAAAATTACGTGTTTAGTAAGATTTGTGACATTTTAAAAGATTCTAGAACATTTCTTGGTCTTTAAAGTGCTGACATTTCTTATGAGACAAGACACACATAGAAAACAAATAGCTTGGCACTGTGTCAAATGAAAGGTGGAATAAGCTTTTCCTCTAGAGAGGGAGGTTGCTGTGCCTCGAGTGTGTTTGAAGAGGTTTAGGATGGGCTGGGTGCTAGGTATAAAGGCAGGGACAGGTACTTCAGTGCAGCGGCCTCTGGATTAGAGCTGCCCTTTAGCCATAGCTCAGGAGTTAGTGTATGCGATCTTCATGTGTCATGGTCTCCAAGGCTGAAGGAGCCATCACTTTATGTTCTAATCACATTAGAGGAGTGCAGGTTTGACTCTCCATTTCAGGAGAGGCGTTGGCGCTGTGGAGGAGGAACAGAGAAGGGGAGACCAAGATATAGAAACCATGACTCCGCAGTAGATTAGGCACCTGGTCATGGAAACTGAGTCACAGTGGGTAAGGGACTTGGTCAGGAAAGGAAGGAGTACCTAAGTACTGGTACCTGCCCTGTCTAGGAGAACTGGGGAAGGTGAAGGGGTGGAGAGCTGTTCTTTTGTCTGCTTGTTTTTTCTGTTTCTGTTTTTTGTTTTTCGATACAGGGTTTCTCTCTAACAGCCTTCGCTGTCCTGGAACTAGTTCTTGTAGACCAGTCCTCGAACTGGATAGCTGTTCTTATTTAATGTTTATTTAGGCTGATGCCAAGGCTGGAATCCGGGTCCTTGTGCCACAGTGCACATGTGGAGATGAGAAGATTCTTCTCAGGAGTCAGTTCTCTCTTGTTTACGCGGGTTCTGGGGACCATTCTGGCTGCCTGGCAAGCGCTTTCCTCTGAGCATCTCGATAGCAGTTGAGCTCTTCCCACAGGAGAAGACAGAAGACTGGAACCACTAGTCTCCATGTACTCTCTTCTCTGTCCTGTTATTTATGTAGTTCTCCTTTATTCATTCATTTTTAATATAGGGGCTTATAATTCGACTCAAACTAGCTTTGAACTTTGAAGCCTCATCCTCTGAGTGCTGTGTCACAGGTATATGCCACCATACCTGGCCTCGTCCTCTGGATTTGTGAGTGTTGCTTTGGTAATGGAAAGAGGGAAGGAGTCTTGTCATGGTCACTGGAAGCTGCTGTATTAGCAGATCTCTTACTGACCCGGCATCCAGCATTTGATGCAGTCAGTGCCTGCCTTGGGAGGCATGCTGTGCTGCGTTCTTGCCTGCCCAGTGCTGGGGTGGCAACTGCACTCCAGCACACGGGCTTGTGTCCTCAGCACACCCCCGTGGTTGGCTTCCCTGACAGCATTCTTCCGCTGATTCTGAGCAGTCTCCTTTGTCAGCTCCTTTATTTCTAAGTGACACAACACACTGCCACATGAAGTGTATCTTGTGTTCAGGTCATGTGGGCGCCAGGCTACGATGTCCAGTTTTCTGCTTCAATTTCCAAGTGCTTCCATTTCTGGATAAAGTAGCTGTTTCAGTAAATATAGCAAAGCAAATGATTCCTCTGTTTCACTCCTCAGAGGTTCTGCTCTCACCCTCTGCATCTCAGTTCATAACACCCAGCTATTGAAGCAGCTAATGCCTTCACAGTTTGACCAGAAACTCACCACCTACCCATTGCCAGCCTCATCCATGCTACCTGATCTATCCTTACAGTTCTCCCTGATCCTAGGCTGCCCACTAGTCCATCTCTGCATGTGTCCAGTCACCTTCAAGACCCTCCTAGAGTTCTGGCAAATTTAGGGTGATGTAGACACTCCTTACAAAGCTGTATGCCATTGGCTGCTGTCCACTGTCTACTGCCACCTTTATTTCATGCCAAGCTTTTGTCCTTTTTTTAGGGCTATTATGTTTGCTGTTCTCTTCAAAAATTCCCATTGCTTACTTTACCATTTCAGTTTTAGGGTTCTGTTTTCTTTTCAGTATTATTTTTTAGAGAAGGCGTTAGGGATCAAGGCTGTTTTGCTTTCTTCAGACATGCTTTTGAGGCGGTTGCTCTCCACACTTTGACATTGGGTGTTTGTGTGTTTATTGTGCAGGTTTCCAGCAGGTGGCAGCACAGTGTCTTGGGAAAGTACAGTCTCTCAATTCCTACTTTCATCTCCTTATATTTTCATCGTCATAACCTCTGTATTCAGAATATCATTCCTTTTGCTTATTTAACTGTGTTTTTGTTATAGCTTTATTCTTCCCATGTTTGTTATTTTCTCTGTCTCACGTAACATTTAGACATTATTCATCATTCAAGTCTGATACATCTCCATTGGTGGTGTTATTCTAACCCAAGTGCTTCTTGTGTGCTTGGCAAGAACTCACCACACTGTACAAGGCCCCGGCCCCACACCTAATCCCTTTACGAGGGGAAGAGAGTGGTTACATGCTTGATTGCTGGAAATAGAATTCTCAAGTATGCCAGACAAGCCCTCTACCTAGGCCATACCACCATTTCTTAAATTTTGTAATGTTTTGTTTGTTGTGTTTAGTTTTACTGTGCTATCAACCAAATGCTGGATAAGCTTTCTACAAAGGAACTGTACCCCCATGTTAGCCCTCTTTCCTACTGTTTTTATTTATTGATTTTATTTTGGGGGGAGTCTTGTTAGCTCTCTTGTATGAGTGTCAGGGAAGGACCGAGGCTTTGTCTCTGCCGTCACATGTTCAGTGGTTTCTCTGGTTTTCCTCCGTGGAGGTAATTTCTCACTTCTTTATTGTTGTAGCACATTGGTTTTTAAAGATGAATGTATATTAGAATCATTTAGGAAGATCTTTTAAAAAATTAGTTTTTATTTCATTTTATTGTGTATGAGAGAGACACAGAGAGGGTTAATTATGGCAGGACCCATCCTCTCCTGCGGTTTCAGGAACTGAATTTGAGTCAGCTTGTGCAGAAACCCTTTCATCATGAACCATCTTGCTTACTTGATTTTTGAAAAATTTTTTAAGATGTATGTATGTATTTTGTACGTGTGGGTACACATGGCACAGCCTGTGTGTGGAGGTCAAGAGGACAACTTTGGGGGTTGAAGATATGTCTCAGCAGGTAAGACCACTGATTGCTCTTCCAGAGGACCTATGCAACCGACATGGCGGCTCACAGCTGTCTGGCTCCAGTTCCAGGGATCCAACACCTTTACACACACATACATGCAAGCGCAAAACACCAGTCCACTTAAAATAAAAGAAAATAAACCATTTGTTTAAAAAAGGAAAACTTTGGGGAGTTGGTTCTTTGCTCCTACCCTGTAGATTCTGTGAACTGAACTTAAAGCTGTCAGGCTTGGCAACAATTGCCTTTACCACTGAGCCATCTCATCAACAATGGTGAAATTTTTATTAAGTACGCCTAGATGTTTGAACTGTAGGAAGTAATTTTTTAAAATGCATAGTACATTAATTGTTTTCTCATTTAACCATTATCAAGTTTAAATTTTATTGACGGTAATTTAATTTAACTAATGCATATGGTATATTTCCTTTATCAGCATATGGAAATAAAGATAATCATTTTCCATAGTTTTAACTTTGTGGGGTTTAATATTAGCAAATTTGTTTACAAACAGTTGTGCATTTTGGACCTGGCGAAAGTTCAGAAGATGCGGTCATGATGAACACGCCTGTGGTTAAGGCAGCTCTGGAAATGGGCTTCAGTAGGAGTCTGGTAAGAGAGACGGTTCAGCAGCAAATTCTGGCCACCGGTGAGAACTACAGGACCGTCAGCGATATTGTCTCAGCGCTTGTTAGTGCTGAAGGCGAAAAAAGAGAAGAGAAGGACAGACAGACTGAAGAAACAGCATCAGGTATTGTGGTATTGGTGGCTGCGTGTAACATAAGTTACATGTTACATGGCAGCACCTCAGCTCACATCCATAAATTGCTGGTGACATCACCTCTCCCCCACCACCAGTATTTCTAAACTGTCTGTTTGCCAAGCTCGGGTGACTTCAAATTCCATCTGTAGCTAGTACTGTCCTTGAATTCCCCTGAGTTCCCGACCCCACTGCCAAAGTGCTGGGATGACATATATGCTACCATACCCAGATTTACAATAAAGTTTTTTTCTTGAGCTATATTGCATTTCTTCCTTTTACATAGCTAAATTTTAAAAGCGTGATTTAGGGGGTTGGAGAGATGACTCAGTGGCTAAAAACTTTTGCTGCTCTTGCTAAGGGTCTGGGTTTGGTTCCCATCACCCATGTTGAGTCCAGTGTCTGGGGTATCTGACACCCTCTTGTGACCTGTGTGTGCACCTGGTACACATACCCGCAGGCCCATACACATACACATAAAAATGAATACTTTTCAGTTTTTAAAGCAAGATTTAAGAACTGATTCAGAGCTGACTATAGCGGAATAGGCCTAGTTCCTACAATCCTGGCATTCAGGAGAGTAAGGCAGGAGTATGCCAAGTTCAGGGACAGCCTAGGCTACATATCAAGAATCTCTTTAAAAGATTCAGATATTTCTACTTTTTAAATAAACTTCCTTCAAATCTGGTTTCTGATACGGTATTTTACTAGTAGTCCTTGGTAGGGGATTCTTAGACCAAAAAGTCAACCTAGGATGACATCCTGGGTTGTGGTCCTTTGCACAGCCATCAACAGTGTATACATGATTCTGATATTTGTGTGTGTTTTTCTTTTTCTTTTTTTCTTCTCTTTTTTTTTTTTGGTTTTTTGAGACAGGGTTTCTCTATAGCTCTGGAGTGGAGCCTGGCCAGGAACTAGGTCTTGTAGACCAGGCTGGCCTCAAACTCAGAGATCCTCCTGCCTCTGCTTCCTGAGTGCTAGGATTTAAGGCATGTGCCACCACTGCCCGGTTAGATTTTTTTCACATCTTAACAAGTCTCCTGAGTAATTATATCTTCAACAAATATTTTCATATGTCTAAATATATATATGTGTCTAAATATATATTTTCATATGTCTAAATATATAAACAGCAAAGGTGTGAGAGTGCTGGTCATTCTCAGGGAGCATGTAGACCACCTGGGAAATAGGTTCCAAAAGACAATCACAGAGCTAGCAGAGGGCCCGCAAGATGGCTTAGTGGGAAAAGGTACTGCCGTCCACCCTGCAAGTCTTAGCTCAGGACCTGAGATGCATATGACAGGAGGAGAGAACAGTTCCTACAGTTGTCCTCTGACGGCTATATGTGTGTCATGGCACTGTGTATGCACACACACACAGACACACACACACACACACACGCTGTATAAAAACCTTAGAGAACTATTAGATAAGTGAAGGTTCATTGTGTTGCGTGAATTGGAGCATTAGGTTGAAAACACTTTTGTCCTTAACTAGAGGTAGAAATAGTTTTGGTCAGTGAGGCTCTTTCTGCCAAGCCTGATGACTGAGTTTGATGCCCAGGACCCACATGGTGGAAGGTGAGAATTGATCCCTGCAAGTTGCCTGCTGTGGCATCCCCACCCTCACCCTCAAGGAAGAAACTGTTTTGTTTTATTTAAAAAAAAAAAAAAAGACTAGTTCAAGACAGCCTTATTGTAAGACCATATAGCAAAATGTTTGAAATTCTAATTTCTGGATTGAGACAGATCTAATTCTGGCCTTTTTCAGTTAGGGTAGGCAGCTCATTCAACTAAACTTAAGATTCCTTACCTCTGAAGTGGGGTAATCTCTTATGAACGAGCTGGATTCAGTTCTTAAAGCTGCACCATAATTTAGATTTATAAAATGTGCTGAGTATTGTGGTAAGTGGTGGATGTGCATTTCATTGACCTCTTTAAGGAAGGTGCTGGATTCTTCCTATTTCAGATCGGGAAGCTGAAGCGTATAGTGGGGGACATGGCTAAAATGGCTAGACTTTCTGGGCAAGCCAGCAAAGTCCATCTTGATTTGTAGCTAAGCCCTCGCATTCACAGATGGTGTGGACCCTGAAAGGACATTAGCACCATGTAAACCTGGCTGGGTGGTTCATGCCTGTAACCCCAACACTTGGAAGGGAAGTAAAGTCATGACACTCAGGGCTGGATATATCAGGTCCTGTCTCAGTAACTAACAAACCGGAAACCTCAACTAGTTTAGGACTGGTTTGACAACTCATTCTGTGACTGTTGACAAGCCAGCCATGCTATTGTGAGGCTCCCTATCTGGAAGATACGTGGCTTATCTGATTGCCTTTTTGAATATAACCGTTTGCCTGTACTTAAGAAGTAAAGTGATATAATACAGATAAAAATAAATTACTTTTTAATTCCATGGTGGAGAAAGAAAGAGAAAGAGGGCACATATTTTACTACTTTAAAGTTTTCCGCTTGTTCTCAACAATTTGAAGACGTGTGTCTGGGTCCATCAGCGTTCATACTTGAAAGTGTATGTGCTTGTATGGAACCCTGAGTTTAACCTGGAGTTTAGTTTAGGAAGGCAATATCGAGATACAATCACTATTTTCCTTCTCCTTCACACTCAGTACCTCATTTGGGTGTAGTTGGGGGCATTTGAAATTTAATGCATCCTTCTTCTTGCTTGTTTTTAACTGAAGGTGACTTGCAATTAATTCGGAAGAATAGAATGGCCCTCTTTCAGCAGCTGACATGTGTCCTTCCGATCTTGGACAACCTTCTTGAGGCCAGTATAATTACTAAGCAGGAACATGATATTATCAGACAGAAAACACAGATACCCTTACAAGCAAGAGAACTGATTGACACCATTTTAGTCAAAGGAAATGCTGCAGCCAACATCTTCAAAACCTGTCTGAAGGAAATCGACTCCACATTATATGAGAACTTATTTGGTGAGTTTGTTGGAGATAGTATTTAGATACCCTTAGGGTTTTATTCGTCTCTCTGCTGAGCAAGCAGAATAAACCCAGTTGAACCTCAATCTTTACATATTACCTATTCCAGAAAAACAAAAAAACCTGGTGTTTTTTATTGTCTAGGTAGTATTCCTTGTAATATGGCAAAAATCTGCATAAAAGTAGTAGGTTAAAGAGTTTTATATTGCTAGAGTAATGGTTTTTGTATGCTGTCTTTTTTCAGTGGAAAAGAATATGAAGTATATTCCAGCAGAAGATGTCTCAGGTACAGTGCCGTTAGTACTCCACTGTTGTCTCTGTTCCTTCCTGGACACTGCATCTCACTTACACTCTTTTCTGGTCTTAGGCTTGTCATTGGAAGAGCAGTTGCGGAGATTGCAAGAAGAACGAACTTGCAAAGTGTGCATGGACAGAGAGGTTTCTATTGTGTTCATTCCTTGTGGTCATCTGGTAGTCTGTCAGGAATGTGCCCCTTCCTTGAGAAAGTGCCCCATCTGCAGGGGTACTATCAAGGGGACTGTGCGTACATTTCTCTCATAAATGAAGAGTGGTTCTAAAGTATTGCTGGGTACCGGAAGCCGTCTGAACAAAGAGTGAATTACCGATTCAGCTAGTACACTCATGTTTGCTCTTCTTCAGAATTAATAATCTTGCTTCGTGAAAGGTAGTGTTGTATATGTAATCTTAATCTGTGTAGCTGCAAGGGAAGTTCCTCTGCTGATAAGCTATGGAAGGAGTGGGTGCTTCTGGGTTTCACTCAGGAGTTTCTGGGCTTGGAGTTTATGAAAGCTTTAGATTTGGGTGACGTGGAGCTCAGGAATCCTGGAAACCAGTAGCCCTGGCCCTCAGCGGATAGGGTGCCCCATTCTTTTTGGTGTTTTTCCCTCTGGAAAATAAGGATTTTTCTGTTACTTGGTAAATAAGATTTCCCCCTATTTGTGAGAAACATACTAATAAAGTGGTTTTAAAGGCTTGTATCATCATTTTCTCCCCTGATTGAATAGTAATTTTCCTAAGACTTAGTTGCACTCATTTGCTCTTAGGTTAAAATAAATGAATTCATAAAATAAATTGCTAACATGTTTGTAATAATGTGATTCACGAAAATCCCTTTAGCTAACAAACTGTGTATGCTTTGCAAATAAAGCATTGGATGAAGACTTCACACTCAGCTCAGTCCACATGAGAACTTAAAGAAGCAGTGTACTTGCGTGGTGTGGAGGTTTTTGTGGGCTTCGGGGATAGAACACAGACAGTGATAAGCAGTGCCGTCTTTGTGGAGTAGATCATGTATGACCTGTCCCAGATGTGAAGTGTATTTTAAAACACAAAACAGGCTAGACATGGTGGCACACACTTTTAATCCCATCGCTCAGGAGGCAGAAGCAAGTGGATCTCTGTGAGTTCAAGGCCAGCCTGGTCTACAGAGAGAGTTCCAGGACAGGCAGGAGATTTACACAGAGAAACCCTGACTCAAAGAACAACATGAAACAAAGCAGCATGGTGGTACAGACCTTCAGTCCCACCAGAGGCAGGTGGATCTCTGCCATACCTGGGAAGAGGGAATCTTAATTGAGAAAATACAGATTGGTTTGTAATAGTGTCTGTGGGGCATTTTCTTGATGAATGATTGATGTGGGAAGGCCCAGCCCATTGTAGGTGATGCCACCTCTGAGCAGGTGGTCCTGGGTGGTCCACGAAAGCAAGCCAGTAAGCAGCACTCCTTCGTGGCCTGTTTCTGTTCCTGCCCTGACTCCCCTGGGAGTGTGAGCTGAGACAAACCCTGTCCTCCCCAAGTTGCTTCTGGTTATGGTGTTTATCATAGCAATAAAAACCCTAACCAAGATAGGTGGCTAAAATCTTTGCCCTCCACTCTTAATTTTGGTAATGTTCCCATTCCTGTCCTGATACTTTGTAAAGATTTATTTTTATTTGTGTCTGTGTTTGTCTGTACATGTGTGCAGTTGTCCACAGAGGGTGGTGTTACCCTGGCACTGGAGTAGTGAACGCTGGTCATCTCTAAGAGCAGCAAATGCTATAAATCCCTGAGCTGCTTCTCTGGTGCTGTCAGGATGTGTGTATGTAAGGATAAATAAACGGTGCTGCCTCACTTCAAAGTCTTGTATTAGCAACAGAAAGTCCGGGGGGATGGAAAGAAGTTGCTTACATCCCAGATACGCAACAAGTCTAAAATTCTCCAAACTTTATCTTCATCCTGGACATATTATGAATGATTTCTGATGAGGCTTTCAGCTTTCTCAGGAAGTAAAATTAGAAGTTTGTCAGGCAAGTAACCCAGTTAGAACTTACCCAAGACGAGGGTGTAGTCAGTGTAGTGCCGGGCCGTCCGCGTTTTATCTCAGACTCTGCAGTTACAGACAGGCTCTTTGTGTCCTTCTCTTAAATGGCAGGCAGTCCTTGTAGAACTCACTGTTTCTTCTCGTTGGCCCTTTGCTTACTCAGTATGCACTGAGGACCCACTTGTGTGCCAAGCACAGTGCTACGTGCTGTGAGAAATGGAGCTGTTTTCTGGGCAGAATTTTGGTGCTGGAGTTTATAAAATGGTAACCGAGAATGCGGTAGTATTGGGAAATAGGTCTTAACAAGCAGTGATCAAGGAGATAATGATATGTAGGAGAGCTCCAATCTGTGTTCCAGCTCTGAGGGGAATGCTATCCTTATTTATAGTCAGGAGCCAAGGAATACTACAAAGTCAGCCACACAGCAAGAGGTTGGGAAGGAAGAACCCAGGAGGGTGCCTGCCTCTGCTATGGTGAGAAACAGCAAGAACTGAGCAGAAGGCAGGGCTTATATAGAGTTTCTTGGGGATGGGGTGGAGTGGAGCTTTCCACGGTGGGCATTGGTGGGATTTCATGTCCAGAGCTTGGGCTTTTTGCTCTGTAGGGCAGGGGCTGGGTCCAAACTTTAGGACAGAGTGTTCTATGGGTGGAACTGGCAGGTTGGAGGGCCTGGGGGAGAGGCCTGGCCACTTGTGTGGCTTGAGGGGCTTATGTCTCCCCCTTTTTGATTATTATTGATAAACAGGTTATGGGAAAGGGAGATGATGTTATCATTAGATTACTTCCCGCTGAATCTTCATCTTTGGTATAATTGAGAGTCATTGGCTTCTGACTTTCTAGCTCAGTAATCCTGTAATAGCAACTGATTAAAAGTCTGGTTAGAAATCTTTTGAATCTTTTGTTCAAGAAATCTAGACAAGTTTATAAGGCAGCGCACAGCCAGGACTAAGAAGAGGAGAAAGGTGGTTAAGAAAGGCAGCATCCAATTCCCTATTAGACTGAGATTCACTGCCAGTCACCAAACAGAGACCTATCTGGAATTGTCAGCGCTTGTCTCTTCCTATACCTGATTGGTTGACATAGAAACAACATTGCTCCTGAGGAAGAGACAAGGACCACCTCTCTGTGCTGTTGGTAAATCTCATCCTTGCTGACTTTGTAGCACTGATGGTGGCGAGTTAGTCCACTTGGCCCTGGAGAGTAAAGATGATCTGAGCTACTACCCATTGGAGATCCTGGATGAACTGAGAGGAAAACTGATGGTAAGTAGCTAGGGAAGTAGCCAGTCCTGCTTCGCTGGCGATGTCAGTGGTGGTAAAGCCAGGACCGTGGGGAAGGGGAGGATCTGAACCACTCAGTTGTCATGCCGTGTTCTGTAAACCCTGTGAGGGAACCTGCAAAAGTTCTTCACCAGGTGCAACCCCTAATTATGGAAAAAGGAACACCAGGGCACAAGTCCCAGCCCACCCAATGGGTAGGCAGCGGTAAACCTGAGTACTGCGGAGGATTGAGGCGTTGTGAACATTCAGACATAAGGGCTAGATGGCAGTGCTGAGTCAAAGTTATGTCCCAGAGGAGTTAAACAGTCTGTGATCAGAGATATGGGTGGGAGTGGTAACTGGCTCAGAGCAGTTAATGAGAGGGTGAGAGTCTAGTCCATGGGTTTGACCCAGGATGGACACACAACGCTCCGAAGTGGACAGGCAGAGTGTTACTCAATGGCTGATGTGCAATTAGGATGGCCCAGATTTGTCCCACGGTATTTTCAGGACCAACATGGATACCTTATTTCTTACCAGTTTTTTTCCTTTAGGTGGTAGAGAAAACAGACATGGGGTAAGCCATGGTTCACCATGATGATGATGCCTTTGGCACCTGATATAGAGCAAATTTCTGGCCTTGTTAGAATGGGCTGTTGGTTAGAGGTGGGGGACTCTTGGATATTAAACATCCCTATATCAGAACTACCCCAGGCAGGTGTAGATAGAAAGAAATAGAAGAGGAGAGCAAGTTTAGATATTATTAAATCTACAGCGGGAATGGGTTTGAGTATTGAGACGTGAGCATGACTGACAAGTGTAGCATCCTCTACACTGCTACCTGAAGAGAGAAGTCAGGAAGGGAGGAATGTTTGCAGGACCCGTGTGAAGAGCTGCTGAGGACCAGGGGTCAGAACAGAGAAGATCGGCTTGGGAGGGATCTGAGGGGTAGAAAAGCTAACTGACTCAGGCATGGGTCACCTGTTGTTTCTTTCTTCCTAGGGGAAGACGAAAGAAGAGAAAAGAAGCATGGGGCTTAAGGTATAAGATTTAGGGCAAAGCATAAGGTAGGGAGTGATCTCCACAAAGCTTTCAGTCTGTATAGGCACACAGGCAAACTAGCATCCCACAGGCAGTAACAATGGTACCAAGCATGCATTTTCACAGAGTCATAAGAACCGGTGTGGATCTGCTACCTTGTGTCTCAGAGTGGGTGTGACTGAAGTTCCCCCTGCGGCTGGGAACACAGCCTTGGCAGCTGTGCTAACCTGTGGGCTTGATTTGCATAAGCGTCTAGCTGGTTGAGTTAAAAGGAATCTCTTGGGGGGGGGGGGGGGACCTTGCTTTTTACTCTAGAAGGGTGCCCAGGTGAGAATTTTTCTCTCTGAAGCTAGTTTTAGCATCTCAGGCCTTTTTCCTGTATAAAGAGCTAATTCCTGGGCTATGATCTTATGTTGGTTGAACCCAAGGTGAAGGGTAATATAGAGTATTAGTAGCCTGTTAGGTCAGAGCAGAAGCAGATCACACCTTCCTGAGTCTGCTTTTAGAGCAGACTATCTCTTCCTGTGTGAGACTCCTCTCTTATCAATGTTTACTGCAATAAAGAAAGTTTGTGAGGGACTCTTTCAGTGTAGATTTTGGCTGTGAAAACAAGGACTTGGCTGAATCCTTTTCACACCATGGCTTCATGGTGTGGGGGGAGGTGTCTGGTTGCCCCACAGGAAAAGTCAGGTTTATACACTGCTGGGATACTACAGAAGGGAGAAATGCCATGGTTTTACAGGATTTCTACAGAATCAACAATGACTTATCTAAAGGACAGGCGTTCCTGTAGCTCTGCAAAAGCGGGTTCTCCAGGTGGAGTGTACGTACACACTTCCCTTGGAGAGTCCAATAGCTCTGTCAGCTGTCCGTTTACTGCATACTTGTGGGCTCACCACAGCCTTGTATGTTAGAAGATGGGGTAAGAGTTGAGGGAGAAGGAGACCCCTGAGGTGACCCTAAGGGAAACTGCCGATTTGTGTGTAAGAAGTTGGGCTGCAGCGAGAGGTGCAGTCTCGTGTGAAAGCATGGAGGTCATGGAGGTGGAGCTTTGATCCCTTATTAAATGGGAATTGTTTTCAAGTCCTATCTTTCATAAACTGTGACCGGAAAGCGCAGAGGTAAATTCTGAGCTCTGGCCTTCAAAGCAGCCATAGCAGTCCGTGTTAGCAGTGGTGGCTGTCAGCTGGAGCAGCGGAGAACACAGAAATCTCACCCTAAAATTCAGTCAGAAACAAAGCATGCAGTGGCCACTATCATTCAGACATTCAGTTGAGCCTGACCCATTTCCATCTTGGCTCCCATGAATGAAGCATACAGATACACCAAAAAACATAGACCCAATGTGCACGGAAAACAGACAGACAAAACTTTCCAAAC